TCAATCAAGAGTACTTGGATCGCCTGCCCGACGTTGACTACGTTGATCTACCCAAGGTCAAGCCCTCAAACGCCGTCTATGTATGCTTCACTTCGGGAAGCACGGGTCGGCCCAAGGGAATCGTAGTCGAGCACGGCAATCTGCGCATGAGCGCACAAGCACACGGGGCACAATTCAAGGTCAACCCCGGCACCAGGGTGTTCCAGTTCTCCGCTTATACTTTCGATATCGGACTCGGTGACATTTTCATCTCACTCCAACGCGGAGCCACCATCTGCACGCCATCTGAATGGGAGAGATTGAACGAGCTTCCCGGCGCCATCACCAAATATAAGGCGAACTTCATGTCAGTCACCCCATCTGTTGCCAAGCTCCTCCACCCAGAAGCTGTTCCGACACTGCGCACTCTCGTCCTCGGTGGTGAGGCACCCACTCAAGACAACGTCCAAACCTGGTCGGATAAACTGAACCTGATCATCATTTGGGGCCCAGCCGAGACCACCATCTATGCATCTGCGACGCCGCCGACAACCCGGCAAACAAGTGCACAAGGCCTCGGAAACCCAATGGGTAGTGTGATGTGGCTCTGCGATCCAGACAACCACGACAGACTAGTACCCCTCGGTTGCGTTGGTGAGATTGTTGTCGAGGGTCCCCTCGTCTCGCGAGGCTATCTCAAGGACGACGCAAAGACGGCAGCCGCGTACATCGAGGATCCAGCCTGGGCGAAGAAGCTGGACGAGAATGCCTCGCCTCGCAGGATGTACAAAACTGGAGACTTGGCACGCTACGACGCTAACGGCTACATGTTATTTTCCGGTCGGAAAGATAATCAAGTGAAGCTCCACGGTCAGAGAATGGAGCTGGACGAAGTGGAACACAGCATGTTGAAACACGAAAGAGTGCGGCAGGCTGTTGCACGCATTCCTCGCCACGGGCCGCTCAAGGACAAGCTTGTGGCCATGTTGAGTCTCCATGATGTCTCATCGACCAGCTCGCCCGTTGCCAACAAGATCATCGTGCTGGGTGAAGCCTCTCATGGTGTTAAGATTGGAAAGGAACTTGCCTCCGTGCGTGGGTTGCTGCAACAAAACGTGCCAAGCTACATGGTGCCAACAATCTGGATTGGTGTCGAGGCCGTTCCATTGAGCGCCAATTCTAAGGTGGATCGGAAGTCCGTGGATGCGTGGATGGAAGAGATGGATCAAGAAACCTATGCCTCCCTCCTAGGCGAGGCGGGTAGTGATAAGAAGGAAGAGGAAATCCGCCGCCCAGCCACCACCGTGGAACAGATTCTGTGCAACCTCATCAGCAAGATACTCGGCCTGAACGCGGAGACACTCAACCTCAACTCCTCGTTCCTGGCCCTGGGTGGCGACTCCGTCGCTGCCATGCAGTTGCGTAGCAAGTCTCGCACTGACGGGGTCACAGTCTCCATGCTGGACATTATCAGGTGCAAGAGCCTGGTGGAGCTTGCAGCGAAAGCGGAATATGCTGAGCCAGCCGTGAAGAAGGTCCAGGACGGATCTTTCGAACTCTCGCCAATCCAGCAAATGTACTTTGATTTGGTGGGATCTGCAGCGGATGCAAACATTGGTCATTTCGACCAAAGCATTCTTCTGGAAGTCAACAACTCCGTGCCTCCTCAAGCATTGCGACAGGCGCTGGTGCAGGTCGTTCGCCGGCACTCGATGCTCCGCGCCCGGTATTCTCGGAATGATGCCGGCCAATGGTATCAGTACCTTGCTGAAGACTCGGCAAATTCATTCCATTTCAGTGTCGAAGACGTGGAAGATGGTTATCAAGTTTCCAACATACTGAAAAACATGGGCGGTGTGTTTGACATCGAAAAGGGCCCAGTCTTCGCTGCCCGCGTGTACAATCTCCGTGCAGAGCGCAAGCAGTTGATGTTCGTTCATGCTCACCATTTGGTGGTGGATGTGGTTTCATGGCACGTTCTGCTGGGCGACCTGGAGCTGGCCATTGCCACTGGCAGCTTGGCTGGCCCAGCTCCGCTCTCTTTCCAGAGTTGGTTACGTTCTCAGAAGGAGATGGCACAGTCTCTCGAGCCGAGAGATTTGCTACCATTCGCAAACACAAGCATGCCTGCGGCCAACTTTAACTACTGGGGAATGGGAGGCAACAAGTCCAACAGATACTGTGACGCCGTCGTGACTGATTTCTGGCTCGATGAGACCCTAACAAACCAATTAATGAGTGTCAGCAAGGGGGCTTCGAACGTTGCCCCTGTAGACATTGTTCTAGCCTCTCTTCTCCACTCCTTTGCGGCTGTCTTCCCCGACCGCGCCGCACCACCAGTCTTCTCCGAGGGCCACGGTCGCGAGTCATGGAACAACCAGGTCGACCCTTCCGGCACAGTGGGCTGGTTTACGACTATGAGCCCACTGCATGTATCTGATCTCCAGTCGGACATCATCGCAACCGTGCAAACAGTCGAGGACTTGCGCCGCCGCCTACCCGCCAACGGCATGTCCTATTTCAGCTCCAGATACCTGTCTGGAAAGGGACGCAAGGCCTTCGGGTCGCATTTCGACATGGAAATCATGTTTAACTACCTTGGCCGCTCCTCTGAAGTTGGTTCGGAGAACGCCCTTCTCTCGCATGCCGAGCTTCCAGACGGCGCGACTTTCGACCAGTTGGTCCAAGATGAAAAGCTTCCCCGCTGGTCTCTTTTCGACATCGTGGCTCTTGTTGTGGGTGGTAAGACTCACGTCACCATGGCCTATAACAAGCACATGCAACACCAGGATAGGATTGTTGAGTGGGCAGCCAAGACAAAATCAACCCTTAGCCTTGCCATTGAGGTTCTCAGTGGTATGAAAAGCCTCACCCCCACTCCCACTCCCACTCGCACCCCCCTACCCCTACCCCTACCCCCAAACCCTCAATCGTGCAGCACCAGCCCCAGGATCAATACATCACCCTCGACAACATTGAAGGAATTTACCCCTGTGCCCCAGTACAGCGACACATGCTCGCAGAGCGCGAAAAGTACCCCAACCGCCGCCTATATGAGATGGATTTCACCTACCACGCCCATACAATCAACGGTGTCGTCGACGTGGACAGAGTCCGCGACGCATGGCACCAGGTTGTGCAACGTCATCCCGCACTTCGCACGGTATTCCTGCCCAGCATGTCTTCGCCGGGCTCATATGACCAAATTGTGATCCGAAACTGGTACCCTGAGGTCCCCGTGATCGAGTGCGCCAGCGAAGATGAGATGACGGCTCGAATGGACGCCTACCGATCAGTCAACTACAGCCTGTCGAACAGAAAGCCACACCATCAGCTCACCTTGTTCCGTACAAGCACAAAGGACGGGGTGAAGAAGGTCGCCTTCAAAACCGAAACAGACCACACCCTTACCGACGGCGTTTCTGTCGCTCTGATCCTCCGTGACCTGATGCAGGCATACGAGGACAAGCTTCCCACCACCACAGCCCCGTCTTTCGGCAACTACTCGGTCTGGCTACGCAGCATGAGCCAGGGCGAAACACTAGTCAAGGACATGGAATACTGGCTAGAGTTCTCACAGAGCGCGGGAGCATCGCTTATTCCTCATACCGATGCCTCATGCCTTGTGCCCTCGCAGCCCCGGGTCCACAAGACAAAGACCATCAACCTCGATTCGGAGACCACCAGCCGACTACCCGCCTTCTGCGTGCAGCACGGTGTCACGATGGCAGCCTTCCTTCAAACTGCCTGGGGAATGGTGCTACAGCACCTCACCGGATCGGATAAGACCCTGTTCTCCTTCATGACCGCCAACAGAGACGCGCCGTTTACCGGCGCAGCAGAGACTGTTGGTCCGCTCATTCAAATGCTTTTGTGTCGGATTGATCTGAGCAACAAGGCCATTGGTGATGTGTTGAGGCAGGCACGGGACGATTTCCTCGAGTCGCTGGAGCATCAGTACGGACTGGCCCAGATGGAAGATGTGTGGCAGACCCCTGCATGGAATTCTCTCATGAGTTTACAGTACATGGACTCACGGGTGGGTCAAAAGGCCACCGAGCGGACTGAACTCGAGGTTGAGCTACGTACGGCAGAGGATCCCACTGCGTGGGACGTGTCGATTGGCTTGCAGATCCACAGTCGTGGAGATGGCGTCACAGAGGTTGATGCGGAGCTTGGTTACTGGTCTGATGTTCTAACGGATGAGCGGGCAGCATATGTGAAGAATCTGTTTGAAGCTTCTGTGAAGAAGATGATTGAAGGATATTGATGGATTTGGGGTTTTAATTGTTCACTCGCTGATGTCAACAGGCGGGACCTGTTATTTCCTTTTGTGTGAAATCTTGAAGTTGCGCAAGGCTGGACCTTGATATGCAACATCTGTCAGATTGACTACTGTACCGATTTTCCTTATGTCTATATTTATCTGTCCCCTCGTTTGTGTCTACCATATTGCTCATTCTATCATTTATCAAGTCTTAGTCGTCTTTCAAAACAACCTGGCTTCGTTCAAATTCTCCTACCCTGCAGTCGTAAGGTAGGCTATCCTGCGATTGTATATTTTAGATCCTGGGGATCGTCTTACTTTTGCTCACAGTCGGGGTATATGTCACAACCAGTAATGGTGGCGACACTGCAAATGAACATCAAGTTCTTCAAGGATTTACTCAACTTGTATGAATTACTTTCATTCATGAGACACTCCGATGAAGTCTATTTAGGTACGAAATAACTTGTTTCAAGCACATACGACCATAGGGTGTGGAAAACAGGGCTTCCCGTCCGCTCAGCCGTACTTAAGCCACACGCCGGGAGGTTAGTAGTTGGGTGGGTGACCACCAGCGAATCCCTTCTGTTGTATGTTTTTTTTATTTTTGTTTTATTGAGTTGTTATGTATGTATTTATTCGATGGTAAGCGGAACGGAAGAAGAGAGGAAGGGTGCTAAAAAGACGCATCGCTGAAGAAAATCATAAATAGAGAGTGGGAAAATATATCACTTCATGAAAACACACCCCGTCCTTAAGTTCCCGGAATAAAGCCCCTCGTATGTCCATTCCTAAGCATCTTAGCCATACCAAGGGCCTGCTGAATCCCCGTCGCATTCCCAATGTGCTCCAAAGTCCGAATGATCCATTCCTTGGTGGCGGGATCTGAACTCGCACAGTCGCCCGCCACAAATAGAGGCCATAGCAGGCGAACCACAGCTGTGAATGTCACCTCCCCAGAGACAAAGTGGTATGGGACACTGGCGCAGATATCGTCCGTCATTTGCTTGATAGTGTCTATCGAGTTGAGCACCATCTGCTGGCATTCAGATGTCCCTTGTAAGCCCCAGAGAGGTAGGGCCATTGACCTAATCATTTCGTGTATTATGATCCGGGTTTGACGGTAATGGTTCCACATTGAAACTACCCCGACTGTCTTGTAGACATGGTATGTGTCGCTGTGAAGAGGAATTTGCGGACGAGATTTGGGATTACTGTGTGTGTCAACGACGGAGTATTGCCAATGCGGACCGAGTGACATGGCCCAGGATCGCAGGTCAGTGTCCAGGTGGAGGGCCTTGCTGACTAGTATGCTCAGTGTGTCGATGGAATCGTCAGCCAAGGCTGCGTCGTCCACTTTGACAGAGAGGTCGTGTAGTTGTATCAGTATGTCGCAGAATGTCTCCATCGGCTGTGAACCTTTGTCCTTATTGGCTCGTGCTACGTTGGTAAGGGCTGTTATTCTTGGTGAATTGTACCTCTGGGATCTCCTGAAAATGCTGCTAATTGCCTGATAGGGGTGAGAGGCGGTGCGAATACTTAGTTGAGGTGAGACTTACATTCTGCAAGCGCACCAGTCTGAACAACTCAAGTCCCGTTGATGAGTGCAACTGCTCCATCCCACGTAGTTCAACAAGCTTTGTGGCTCCACGAACATGCTGCGACCAGCCCCGCATTGGATTCGGGAATGTGTTCAACTAGCACCTGCATCAGAAAGCTGAGCCGGGAACCAGTGGAGCTAATCTAATCTTACCTCATACATACCGAGCAATATAACAGCCCCGAGAGTGGAGTCGGATTTGGCCGATACTGGGTCTCGTAGTGCGTTGTTAGTGGCAATCAGGGCTTTCCCGTACTGTTCTCCTGCCACGCGCTTTAGTTCGGGAAGTCGGTTGATTCTCGCCATACTTTCTAGCCCTGCAGCTTGGATCGTGGCTTGGAGTGCAGGAGACGGGTCGGTACTTAGCAGGTGGGGCAGGTAGGAGAGAAGACCCCGGACTCGCGTCGTACCGACGTAGTAAGTGAAGATATGCGACATGACCTGGTCGTCGATCGTGGTTGGCGGAGGAAGTATAGAGGCCGGGGAAGGAGACTTTGACGAAGAAGGCGGCTTGCGTTGTTTGCGGGCGATAGTCCCTCGACCTTCGACTTTCACTGTAATCTCGTCGGTTTGGTCGCAGATTCTTAGAACGTTGGGATCGCGATAGCCAGAGCACTCCTGGTTGACCTTCAGGCATTGTGTACACGACGGGCGACGTCGATCACACTGTTTTATCAGTACGCCATGATCATCAAGAGCCTCGAGGCGCACCACGTACGATTAGTCGTCGTGTCCTGCATAAGGCACACCCCAGACTTGGCTTCCCCCGGTACACCATGGTGATAGGGCTATGTGTGGATAGTGACTTCCCAGAAAGGTAACCAGTTCGGATGCCAGAGTTTGAAGACGCTTGGCTTCTAGCAAGTGGGACTTGGCTACCATTTAAGCCGACCAAGCACGTCGGGCATAAGCTAGAAGTAAGCACTAGTAGCCGTGGATGTGGGGGGCTTGGATGCCTTGGGTCGAGTTTCCGAAACTTTATATTCTCCCGCTTGCTCAGCCCAAAACCCAGCCACGGGTTGCAGAATATAGAACAACCCCATGTTGGTACCTGTAGCTGCAGATGATCGCGAGGCTGATTACTGCATATTCCCGAACAATATGCCATTATAGGTTAAGTCAATTGTTTGTATAGCCTCATGTCGAAGGGTATATGAGTTCCTGTGCTCTCCGACCAGATGCTGTTTTATCATAAAATCAGCCGAAGCGTACATCAAGCGACCCTTCTATTACTCTTTTCTTTCCATCCAGGATTATATCTTATATTGTGACATTTACCATTCACAAAATGAACGGAATATTTGCAGCTGACCTTGCGGCCTATCTGATCCTCTCGCCGATCGTTGTTTACAATTTCATAACCCACAGATGGACCGGGTTTTTAGCCTGGTACTCCCTGACCATGTTCTGTTCCGCTCGAGTCATTGGAGGTGCTCTAGGAGTTCGCAACGCCAGCAGCATGACAGCAAACATAATCCAGAGCGTGGGCGTGACGCCTTTGATTCTATGCGTTGACGGATTGGTTCATGAAGCGTACGTTTATGGCTCGAGATTTGCTAGATCTGGTACTGAAATAACGACAGTCGAACGTATCGCTATCCCTATGCTAGCCGTCGCCTCAACTGGTCCGTTGTGGTTGGGACATCAGTCACCATGGTGGGAGCTATAAGTCTCTCCATCAAGGCATGTCTGGATATTTTCGAGAACAAAGCACAATCCGACGATTATTCATTATGGAAGGCTGGATCAGCCCTGGTCGTTGTAGTTTGGATCTTCCAGATTGGGTGGTCGATTTATTCCCTGCATTTCCACGATAAAGGGATTCAAGGTCCGGGATATCAAGGCGGCACTGCGGTAAGAATTTCATATTTGCCAAATGCTTCTCAGGTAAAGGGTTGACTGACATGTCGTTGTGTAGCTCCTTCAGGGTGCGCTGGTTGCACTAGCATTTATCGGTGTCCGTGTCATCTACGCACTTGTTGCTGTTTGCACCGAGAGCAAAGATCTTAGTCCGGTCTATGGGCTAATGTCTGTACGCGTTCTTCTCATGTTACTTCCGGAGTTATTTGCGACCGTAACCATCATAGTCGTTGGTGTCCGCACCCGACATCTCCGCGAACTGAAAGATGAAACGGACTATGGAAAGCTTGATGTCGTCCAGCCGACTTCGGTTGGCATTGCGGCTTAGCAGCGGAAGCCTGTCCACGTTTTCCTATGTGAACAGATTTTGATTTCTTTGAGTACCGCGTCTCATGCATCTCTTTTCCTCTGTTTCTCTTTCACTTCTCGATAGAATATGTTAGCATTCGGAATTCAGATACCATTTTGCAGCTTCTCCTCTTCTCTAATCCAAAGATGTCAATGTTAATACCCCACCCAAAGTGATCAATCATAGGTCAGTTCGCGTAGCTCTCACACAGCCTCTGATGCTGCGGCGTATCCGGTGTCTGCATTTGAATGGTCGAGCGCTGATGAGCTTAACCAAATGCAGACCGCTGTTGACTGTTCTTATGGGTCATGACCCACACTAAAGCAGAGTTAAATCACTCCGCTTGAGATGCTCATATGGCAACGTCTATTGTTGGATGGAGGTGGATTCTTGATTGGTGCGGCAACAGATTGGGCGACACAGCAATCAAAGATGAGAAACGTAGCTCTACCCTCGTGGGCTCCAGCATTTCTGCAAGTGATGGCTGCGTTGACTGGGAGTGTTCAACGATGGGGAAGAAAGGGAGCAAACGTGGCCCGCGCCGATCGTTGTCCACCGCTCAGCCTCCGATCTGGTTGCCTGATTAGGTTTAGTGTGCATACCGACAATTTGGCCCCTTCATCATGTTGAAAAACGGGTCTGTCAGAATGTAGCATTCAATCAAGCTCATCTTCACCGATCTTGTTACTCATTAGAGTTAGCGTGCATGGGTCAGGGCATCCAAGTGCTCGGCTGTTGTCCTCTAAGGTTTAAATCTCGGCTGGTGTGGGACACTCCGCCCCCAAATCCACTTTTGAGTCTTGAGGCCTTTAGGCCTGGGGTTATTGTTGTCCCCACCATGGATTATATTGCCATTCCTAAATGGGTGTACCAGATCGGTGGGATGGGGCTCAGCTTGAAAGTCATTTCAGCCTTGGGTCGCTGTGATTTTTGGTGCACCTGGGAAGCTTAAATATCGATCAATCCCAAGAACATTCAGAGCTGTTCTCCATGCTCAATCAAACACTATCGATTCATCTACCAAGGTCTCTTGAGAACCTTACACAGTAATCATGAAGACCTCTGCACTACTCGGCTCGGTTGCCTTGGCCTTCCTGCCTTGTAAGTCCTTTGCGCATTTCTCTCAATTATCGACATCTCGGTGATACTCGATTCAAATGACTCACTGACATTGCGCCTGGTAGCCACATCTGCTGCTCCATCCCAGATTAATAATCGCCGAGCTCGAACGGACGTCAGTGCTGAGCGGCGGGCCATGTCAAATGCCGCAAACCCTTATGCTCCGGTCCATGTTTCCTGCCCGGCAAACCGGCCTAGCATTCGTGGCGCTGCAACACTCTCTCCAGAGGAAGTTTCCTGGCTAGATACCCGACGTGAAAAGTCTCTATCAGGACTGAAAGAGTTTTTTGGTCATATTGAGATAGGTTGCTTCGACGCCTTGGATTACCTCGACACAAGCGACTCATCCAGCTTGCCCAATGTTGCAATTGCTATATCCGGTGGTGGTATGCGCGCAATGTTGAATGGTGCTGGTGCCCTCAAAGCCTTCGATAGTCGGACGGAGGGTACGGCTGCTCAGGGCCAGTTGGGCGGTCTACTTCAATCTGCAACCTATGTTTCTGCTCTTAGCGGAGGCTCCTGGTTGCTGTCTTCTGTGTTCATGAACAACTTCACCACCATTTCCGCCCTTCAGGATACTTTCTGGGACTTTAGTTCAGCATCCATCCTCGAAGGACCTGCAACCATGGAGCCTACCGACTTTTGGGGTAATATTACAGCTCAGGTGAAGGCCAAAAGGGCTGCAGGCTTTACTGCCACTGACGCAGATATCTGGTAAGCCACAATTTATATAACAATCAACCCAACTTGCACAGTAACGTGTAGATGCTAACTATTGCAGGGGTCGTGCTGAAGGCTACTACTTCCTCAACGCTAGCCATGGCGGCGTTGACATCCATTGGTCGTCGATTACGAAGACACGGGCGTTCCAGCACGGAGACATGCCACTGCCACTGGTGGTTGTTGACGGCCAGTCCTTCGCAGACGCCAACGACGAGCCCGGTGAAGACAAACCCATCTACGAAATCTCGCCCTGGGAATTTGGAACTTACGACAACAATATGTATGGATTCGCACCACTTGAGTACTTGGGCACCCGATTCGTGAATGGCCAGGTGCCCGAAAATGAGACCTGTGTGCGCGGCTTCGACAGCGCTGGATTTATTACCGGAACGTCCAGCGACATTTGGAATGAAAACGGCACAGACATTGCCGCTACTCTACGTGCTGCGATAGGAGATGTTTCAACTAACACTACCGAGGGCGCTTTGGAGGTAGAACTGCTCTCGTATATCCTCGAAGAAGTTATGGGCGCGGTCAGCTCCAACAACACCGTCACCAGTGGCCCAGCTGCCTACGAGCCCAATCCTTTCTATGGATACAACGCGAACACCTCACCTTTTGCAAACACTACAAGACTGACAGTGGTCGACGGCGGTGAAGATGAAGAGAATATCCCCCTCAACCCGCTCATCCAGAGAAAGCGCGACGTGGATGTCATCTTCGCCATCGATTCCAACAACAATGATGCCGGCTACAAATGGCCCACTGGAGAGTCGCTTATCGCTACTTACGAGCGAACTCTTGCCGGTTACGCCAACGACACCTCCTTCCCTTCCATTCCGGATGGGAACACCTTTGTCAACTTGGGTCTTATTAGCCATCCCACTTTCTTCGGCTGCAATAGTTCGAACATGACTACACCTGCTCCATTGATCGTCTACTTGCCTAACCACCCCGTCACCTATATGTCTAACACGACAACTACAGACACGACTTTCAATACCACAGCCCGTGACGCTATGATCACCAATGGTTATAACGTTGCGACACAAGCTAATGGCACTCTGGATAATGAGTGGACTACTTGTGTGGGTTGTGCTGTGCTTAGTCGTTCGTTTGACCGGACGAACACACCAGTGCCTGCTGCTTGTGAGCAGTGCTTTCAGCGCTATTGCTGGAATGGTACGCTTGATACCAGTACTCCAGCGGTCTATGATCCGTCGGTCATTTTTCCGTCTGGTTTGTAAACATTTGAGGACATGGGGTCAATGATGAACAAGCCGGAGGACGGTACTGCCGACTCGAGGCAAGGGGAAGATCCCTGGACTACTATAGATTGCACATATTGTGATGTTAGATGTAATTATATGTTTTCACTTTCGTTACGCTAAATTCTGGCGAAGACTTGACGTGAAGTTTTCATTTATCTCCTAAATCAACTCTAAAACGCAGTTGTGGGATAATATTCTTCATTGTTTAACCCTATGGCAACCGGAAGTTATTAGCGATTGCATCGCAGAACCACTGACGCGTCTCCCGCTAAGTCCGATACATTGGCCTTTGTCAGTGCGCAGTAGCCAGCGCGTAACTACCTCCCAGCTGGTTTCCTTCCACCTATCAAAATCTGGCCATGCTGCATTAGCGGCTAGACAGGCGTATCGCTTTATGATGTGGCACGGCGCTTCCTCCAATGACAGCCGAATACACAAGGCTAAGTATGCATACCGGGGTCTTTAAAAGCCCGCTGATAACACCTAGCAATGTATTTGGAACCAGTCCTCTATACATACAATCTGAACCCACTTTGAGCGACCTGTCCCTTCCCCCATCAGGCCATCCCAATGACCCGATCATCCTCCCTCGACGTCAAAAATTTCTCGGTCGGCTGGATCTGCAGCCTTCTGATCGAGTACATCGCCGCCTGCAACGTCCTTGACGAGATCTACCCCGACACTACACATGTCCTATTAGGGAAGGGTGACTGCCGTGCTTACACACTGGGCCGAATTGGGAAACACAATGTCGTGATAGTCTGCCTCCCAGCCGAATCCCCAGGCGTGGTATCCGCATCCACCGTCGAAACAACCTTGCGAATTACCTTCCCTTCAATCCGTTTCTCACTCATGGTCGGAATCGCTGGCGCTGCGGCTGGGTTAAAAGAAGATGTGCGACTGGGCGATGTGGTCATAGGGACTAGGATTGTCCCGTACGAATTCGGGAAAGTAACCCATCATGGGTTTCAATATACGGGACATTGTCCCCGGCCGCCGGCTATTCTTAATAATCGAGTGAATCATTTCAAGTATAAATCTCTACTTGAGCTGTATATTGGGCATCTTGTTCAGGATAAAGCGCGATTGTTGCCTGTTCCGCTACGGCATTTGTTTCGAAGACCGGAGTTGGAGGATCGTCTCTATAATTCGGATTATGTTCATACTACTGAAGACTGCGACTGCGAAAAAATGATGGTTTATGATTCGTCTCTCCTTGTTGCTCGAGAGCCTCGGCTGGGGCAAGATGGGGTCAGAGTCCATTCGGGGACCATTGCGTCCGGGGATAAGCTTATCAAGAATGCCCAAACGCGCAACGACTGGGGAAGCATGTTCAATGCACTATGTTTTGACATGGAGTCTGCGGGCCTGAGTAGAGGTTCGCTGACGATCCGTGGCATCGACAATTATTCCGACTCGCATAAGTGCGACCGCTGGCAGGGCTATGCTGCTATGGCGGCAGCTGTTTGTGCGGCGGAGTTTCTTAAGATGGTCCCAATCAGTGATATACCCCAGGGTCAAATTGAGATCATGGATGAAGTCAGCAGGGTTATGACGGCTTCGATAAAGGAGATGAAGTCTGTATTGGATAGTCTTCCCAGCCCGGGAAATAATATGACAACTTTGATGGCTGTGGATCAGAGGCTAGGAGCCATGGAGCATCGCCTTGCTTTGCTAGATACTCAGCAACGATCGGCTAAGGCCCTTGAGACGAAATTAGACATGGTATTGGAGAGATTAAATAATCTGGAGAAAACTCAACGCCAAATGCAGTCATATTTCAGCCAAGCGAACGCTATTGACGGCGACGATGATAGTTTTCCCTATAACCTCACCAGAGAATGCCAGATACCGAGCTTTGAGATGGTGGATAACAGTTCAGACCAATCGTCCAAGCAATCACTAGCGGGTTCGGACACATTCTTCAAAGCTGAGCTAGCATCTTCAGATATGCACAGGATTGAATTCGAGCGTTCCATCAGGCCTACAAAGCCGTTACCGCCACCAAAGCCGATCAGGTTTCGCTCACGTCCAATATGGGAAGAGGCGGTGCGTTGCAGTCCGGGTGGTAGTCTTAGATTATAACGAGACTTTCCCTACTGGACTGGCGAGAGTATGGTAAGGACCTACATACTGTGTCGCCGGCAATTGCGTGGTTTTTTGAATGAGACCTGTTCTTCAACGCTCAACATGGTCCAATTCTGGCCTTGGGTCACATGGACAAGCTCACTGACGGTTTGAGGGATCTGGCTTCAATTTATAAAGTAGCAGTCCAATGTACAGTAATAAAATATCCGCATCTATACTTTGCACTCAATAAGTACTCATCTTACCATCAACACTCAGCTTGTCGCAACTGATTTTAATCAACCCTCAACTTCTCCGCCCCGACCATCTCCGCCTCTCTATTCAACGCCTCAATCTCCGCCTCCGTAAACGGAATACCCTCCTTCAATCTCGTCTCCCTCGTAACCTGCTCAATCTCCCCAGGATAATAAATCCTCTCCACCCCAGCCATCTTATCACTCTCCACAACCTTCTGATACAGGTAGTCCATCCTCTCCTTAAACTCCTCCAAGTCCATAAACAAATCCGGCTTGATGGCCACCAAGAAATGCCCCACATCCGCCGGCTTAGACGGATCATACGGCCCCGTCACACCCCCAGCAAACGCAGACCCGGACAAAACCCCCGAAAACACATCCATCATAATCGCCAGCGCAGACCCCTTAGGCCCACCCATGGGAAGCATCACGCCCTGAAGCGCCTTAGCCGGATCATCCGTCATATTCCCCTCGCCATCAAGCGCCCAATCAGTCGGGATTTTCTCCCCGCGACGAAGCGCCTTGTAGATTTTGCCTCTGGCGGCAATTGACGGCGCCATGTCCAGAATAAACGGCGGAGTCGATCCAGCCGGAGCACCGCATGCGATCGGAGACACGCCCATGAGCTTGGATCTACCGCCCCAGACGGGCAGGGCGGGCGAGGAATTCGTGAATACGAGGGACATCATCCCTGCGTCCAGGGCCTGCTGGACTATCCATGCGGACATTCCGAAGTGGTTGGAGTGTTTGATGGATACGAGGCCGATGCCGTATACTTTGGCCATCTCGATGGCGCGTTGCATGCCCATGTGCGCGGAGACGAACCCGAAGGCGTTATGGCCGTCTACTTGTGCGACAACGGGGGTTTTCTCAGTGAGAGTGGGGGTGGCGCTGGGTGAAAGGACATTTTGGCGGATCCGTTGCATGTACGATGGGATGCGGTTGGAGCCGTGTGTGTCTACGCCGCGCAGATCGGCTTGCACGAGGCATGATGATATGATCTTGGCGTGGTCGGTGGAGACGCCATTTTTGGTCAGGATGGACTGGATGAATGTTTCCAGGTGGGTGGGGTTGATGTGACGGATTTGGTGTTGGGGGTCAGACATTTGGGTAATTGTAATTGTTATTGAGTTATGAATGATTAGGGAGGTTTTGTTGTTGTTATTGGGTTCGAGGTTGATGTTGAGGATGAGGATGCGATGCTTTTATGAGGGGAGCTGTTTCGGAGTTTATCGGGGGTTGGCCGTCGCCCCACACGGTGCACTTCCGAAGCGTGACGGATGGGCCCCGATTGGACGTACGACTCGATCAAGGGTCCGAATGCACCTCATATTGATGGGTCTGTTTTCCCTGACTCTTAGGTCACTGGGAATATTCTCCGGGACGTTTTCGTTGGGATGGTGTAAGCCTCTGGTGAGTAGGCTTGTTACCGCATCCCTGAAGATGCTTCTTCGTCTGTTTCGATCGACATCTCTTGCTTTCTTCACTGTGGGGAGCTGTTGAAGACCTCCCACATCAGCCCATCGATGTCAGGCATTCCAGTCCAGCCTTGAAAGTCGCCTTGCAGGAGACCATCGAACAGATTTAAGGGGTAGGAAGCATCTTTCGGTTGGTATTCTTGAGGAAGAGCTAATGCTCCGGGGATTTGATCAGAGTTGCCGTACCCCTCGGGAATGCCATTATATCCTGCCAATTGATGGTTTTGTGCAGATGATGAGCTCTGCATGCCTCCAGATCGCGACTGCGTTCTATCGGCTTCAGTGTGCAATTCGATAGTTGATTGGGTTCTCATTAGCCGTTCTATTGTCACACGGGATAGCTCGTCAATGCAATCCCGCGCCCGAGTAGCCTCGCTCCAGTGCTCCCCGATGCTACTAAGTATGTTCTGTGCCATGGTGAGACTCGACATGAGTTCGTCGACGCGCACCTTCGCCGTAGTTCTCGGTAGTTTCCAGATACAGTAGAGTAATACAAGCGCCCCAAGGAATACCGAGTGAACAAGTAGTCGGCTGTACAGCAGGCTTCCTGTTCTGTAAATATCGCCAAACGTTTGCAGAAGATCGACAGCCTGGTGGAAGCAAAGATCGAGCATCTCCTCCGAGGGGTTCGGAATTGCCGGGCTTGGTCGCAGGAGTAATACCATTGTTTCGTGATATCTGGCCTTACAGAGCTTGGCCATCACGTCTCCTCCACTAGTTGATTCTTGCGGGATTGTCGATTTCCAGTCTTTGAGTGTTTCTATCATATCACGCTGCCACGCGAAGATATCCCGCACCGGGGGATAGGCATAGCTCGGTACGTCACGTTGAATGCTGTGCATGACATATTTTATCTCTGAATTAATCTTGGCTAATTTGAAGACATGGATTGAGTGCGACATGTGTGACGGTGACTCTTGTGATTCATTGCGGTTGGGGACAGGATTGACAAGGCCCGTGTCTGGCATGTCCAGAGGGAACTGTGACCAGATTAGTATCTCTTCCCGCGCTATAGAGCATTTATCTTACCCTCATCTCACAAGCCTCATCTCTGATGCCTATAGGACGCCCCATCATGGTGCAAATGGCTCTATCGAGCGTATATACCACCCAAAAGATACGGGTCCGTATCTCCTGATCAAGCAACGATATTCCAAGAGATGGAGATGCGCGGACGTCGCGTTGTAACCCTAAATCTATCACACTAGCAAGACACTGGTAGTTCAGGTTCCATATGTTGACATTAGTAGAGGGGTTATGCAACGCATAAACCATAAGAAGTAGCATGCATTGCAGAGCAGTTACCGAGCCATATGAGCAGACCTGCTCGACATACTTCATGGCTGACGCATAGTATCCCTCCACGGGAAGATGCACCTTACATTCACGAGATAAATACAGGGCTGAGATTGATAGCACCATGTAAACCTGAAACAAGTCAAGGGGGTTCTCGTTGTGGAATTCATATACCCGCTCAATCACAGACATGTGGGTCGGCTCATGCAGGAACGGGTAGATAAGATGTACCGTTCGGAAGTATTTCCTTGACAGTTCCATTGCGCTTTCTTTTCGAGTAGGCAGCAGGGTAAGGTTACTCAGCAGCTCAGTTGAAAGGCTAGTTGACTCTGCCGTGGCCTTTTTCACGCCTCTGGCTTCAGATCGCCGCCCAGCGCTGGAGAATATACGGTTCGCAAAGAAGTACCCGCTGGACGGCCCAATGTATCGAGGACCTTCACCAGAGGACAACGACACCAGCCCAATCTCATGCGCCGGTTGATGCCCAGAATTGTTTCCCTGCACATGATGTTGTGGATGCTGTTCCGACAGTGGGTTGAAGGTATTCTCTTCATTGCGTGAAACGGCTGGAGCCTCTCTTCTAAACACCCGAGAGGATTGGTGCACATCAGTGGTCGGATCGTCTTCATGCTGTATATCGACGGATAGTATCGTGCTTTCATAATCTACTGCGTTCTCTGGGGCGTTATTACGATGTTCAAGTCCTAGATCCACATTCGCGCAGTTTTCCTTGACAATCGACTCGAGCCATCGGATCCGATTTTCCATGTTCGAAATGTATCTCCGCGTGACCTCCTGTTTTCCATCATTCACACATGATACCCCTGCCTTCAGGCAGGAACTACATGATGGCTCATTCCCATCGCACTGCGAAGCGTAACACCGTGAGCGCGAATCAACAAGCGAATGATCTGGCTACTCACGCGGATCTTTCTTCGTTGGCATCGCCTGCACGCCGCTCTATTCCGTTTTCGACGCGGCGAGTCCATGTTGGCATATAAACATCCGAGTGGGGACAAAAGTACTGATCTGAGATAACAGATGCTCTATCACTGGATGACTGGACTGGACTGGGGTGTTGTTGCCCCGTCTTTCTCGCTTTGCCACGTGATACTCCTTCTTGGCAGTCTGTGAATCTGGGGTACAGCTAGTTCAACAGGTGATGTGTAATTGCTAGGTTGTGATTGATCTGATTGGCGAACCGATGCAAGCTGATGGGTGAAGAAGTTGCTCCATCTCTTGCTTCTCAACGCTACCGGCAAACGGCAATGTCCGACCGCCAAACGGAGTCCCTCCGTCACACGTGTCATGTGATTATGTTAGTAGTGCCTGATATATCAGGCGGACAATATGTCTCGCTGATCTTTTTGTAGACATGGCTCCTGAAAATGAGAATATACACTCTATAAAGTATTCCTTTTCTAAGAAGCATTATTGCGAGCGTTTCAACTGGAATGTCTTCTTTTATAGGCGTTCACAACTAGTGGCTTTAATATTATCATCGAAGTTGTGTCTCTATAACTCAAAATCATGCTCTGTCAAGATATATAACCAACTCCTCAATATTAGATTGCAAAAATATTCATCATTAACCCAACACAGGAAAATCACACATATACCCATCCTCCTCATCAACCTCAAAGTCAAATCTTACCAGGTCCTCCTTGTACGGAAACATATATGTCGATGTCACACTGCCATTATCAAGGTTAGCCCCGGCATTCTCGACCAGCGGACAAAGTATTGATCTACTTACTCATGATGCTCCTTACTAGCCTGGTATTCTGCTAGTGCAGCCAGGTTCTCATGATAGCTTACCAGAGCGATCTGGAATCCCTTGCTGCGGTCTATGGGCTCGGTCACACTGGGACCGCCCACGAGGAGGCGTCCGGATTTCACACAGGGTAGGTTCTTGAGCTTTTTGAGTTCTGTCACGAAGCGTTGCTTGTGCTCCTCGGTCACTTCGGGACGGAACTTAATGAGAACTGGTTGGTAGTGGGTTAGTTGAAGATCATAATCTCTGTAATAGTTGGGTGGACATACCGATGTGGACTAGAGTCATTGTGGAAAGAATCTATGGTGGAAACTGAGTTTGAAAGTAATACAAACAGAAATATGTTGTTACAAAATTATTTGAAGTTATAAAGAGAACAACGAAGGTATTTAGCTATGGATCCTCGTGCTCGTGTATTCTGGATTAGGGTGAAGCTGACCCGCGGCTATTCAACCATCAGCGGATGTCTTCCGTAGCTTGCGGGGACATGCCGCTCAGGATACAATTTCACGACAGCGTACAATAGACTGGAGGTTTTGTGGGGGAAATATAATGTATATAGCACCAATTTTTTGTTGAGTCAACTGAAGTATGCGCAAATATCGATGCAATTATTGAAATCACATAACATAGCCCGTACAGATACAACGTGCAGCTTGGGCCGTACTAGCCTGCTACATCAAACACATAGAGAACTTGTAGTATGATATATCTATTTACACTCTCCCCGTAGAAGAAGTAATACCACCATCCACCACCAGCTCCTGCCCAGTAATATACCGTGCCTCATCCGATGCTAGAAACACCGTAGCATTAGCCACATCCCAAGCATTTCCCATGCGCCCCATTGGCACCTGCTCATCGCGCGTCTTCATATATGCCGCCTCATCACCCCCAGGCGCATACCGCTTCGCAAGCTCCCGAGTATACGGCGTATAAATCAACCCCGGAACAACCGTATTCAACCTCACTCCCTTTCGTGCATATATCACCGCAGTGGCCTTTGTAAACTGCATAATGGCTGCTTTTGTAGCGGAATATGCCACCTGCGGCTTCCCGATATACCGCAGCCCGGCAATACTTGACACATTGATTACCGTGCCGCCCGTCTCCTGCTTCTCCATGATAGGAAGCACGTAATGACTGGTCAGATAAACGCTTTTCAGATTCAGGTCGACTTGTTGATCCCATGTTTCTTCGCTCATTTCGGCGGGACCACCTGGTTCGGATTTTCCCACGTTGTTGATTAGAATGTCGATGCGCCCGTGGCGTTGCATGCAACTATCCACGAGGGCCTTCACGGAGGTGGAATCAGTGACGTTTGTTTCTTGGACTTCGCATTTTCCTCCCTCTTTCTCAATTCGGGCTTTGGTTCGCTCGGCACTGGATAATGAGCGGTTGCCACCGAAGATGATCGCGCCTTGTTGGGAGAGCTTCATGGCGATGGCGGCGCCGATGCCCCAGCCCTCGTCGGTGGTCTGGCCGAGGCCGGTGATAAGCGCGACTTTGCCGTCTAGTCGAAGCATTCTGAAGAAACTATTGAAGAAGTGGGTAAATTTGAACACGCAATGGTAATAGAGACTGAGTTATAGCTTTCTTCATCGCAAAATGTATGGAGATATTGGTGGAGGCCTGCTAGTCTTAGACTAGCAGTCAGTCTTACCCCTCACTATGGAGAGCGGACCATCTCCGAGGCTCTATCGGCCCCGCGCGGCGCCCTTCCGTCGAGCCTCTTGCTGGTTAGGCCATCAAATGCGGCAATGATGGCTATTTCTGGAACAGCCCTTTATTGACAAGCAAATATCAGATGGCCTAGTGCAATATCTCTGAACTTAGTAATGTAAGCATTGAAAGCACCGATTCAATCTCATTTGGCAGCCACCTATGCTAGGTAAAGCGCTCTGATTGGTGAGCTCTGATGCTTTGTTTCCTTGCGCGCAGCCTCTCAATATCCAGCCAGGGTTGCCAAATTTCTTACGAAGTTTAATGTATCTTTGGAATGAGTGCCAGTTTCATAATCCACCATAATGTCATATCTCATGCGTACACGGTGCTTGGGCAGGCCGCATAGAGCTCCGGACATAACATGGAGTTAACAGTCCTGACCGATGCTCGATAATCTCATAGAAGTTTTTTTCTCTCGGCCTCCAGTCAATCACAAGATATTATGCAATTATCCATTCACACATAGAGTGCGTAGTCAGCATAACAAAAACCCGTCTGCCCAATATCCACAATGGCTGCTACGACAATATCTCAAAGATGGTTACCACCCCCAATCCTCAGCAATATTCGTGTTAGCATGGTCGAGGGAGACGAGAACAAAGCCAAGGTTACGGCGTCAGCGCTCGCGCAGCATTATCGCCCCGGGGATGGAAACGTAAATGATACGTCGAGATTGTTGGGTGGGGGTTTGTACTACTGTGATGTTGAGAAAGATGTAGCCGGTGATGGGTTATGGAAACTTAGGAACTGGGTGGCGAAGCTTACTTGGACGGAAGGGGATTGGGGGGTATTGGAGGGGGAATGAATGAGGCGGTGTTGGAAGAAAGAGGATGGTATGAGAGGCGAGGCGTTTCAATGTATGTTTAGAAGGGCTACCACTCTAGGTAAGAGGGATGGATTTTGACGAGTGTTTCTGTATCCTCCTACCATAAGATGGAAAAGCCATGTGCCAGGTTACTATAGTCTGTGGATACATCTGTTTTGATTTTGGCCTTTTGAGTGCTGTACCAACTAATGTGCAATGCGCATAAAACAAGACTGAACTGTAAGGTTTCCATGTCGTGCCACGAAACAATAGGATACTGAAGAATTGTGCTCATGCCCCCACACTCCGCGAACTGGCCTCCTACAACATTCCTTTAGCCTTACCCATTGTGGCTACTCCTTCTATCAGGGGAAACGATCGACCATATTCACGAGAGAAAGGTGGTACCAATGCGAGATCCGTGATGCAAATCGGATGAAGAAAAGTTACATTGGTGCATGAATGCATGAACATCCAATGGGTCTCTGCAAAACACGCCACGATGTACAGAATAGTGATTGGCATATCAAAGCTTTATTGATAAATTCCAGATCCTTGCATATATGAGAAGTACGCCTCGTACCCTACTGTCTATCATCAAAACTTGGAGGGTCAGCTAACGGCATGAGCCCGGAAGCGCTACAACTTGATTAGTGCCAGTGAATATATTGCCCAATTTCCAAGGAACTCGAAGCAGCTTGTACTAACTGTATATTATCTCGAAAAGGGCGTTTTTGTGAGGCCCGTAAGTCCTTTTCTGGAAGCAGAAGAGTGGTCAAGGGTGTCAATTCATGGAACAATTACAGCAAAGTCTGAAATTGCAATACATGAACGATGTATCTGCACAAGACATTTATGTAGGTAGCTAAACCATGGTCTATTACAAATTCGTAGGGTTACTGATTGCTCCATTGATCATTCTCAAAGTCATGGAGACGCAACCTAAAGCTTGGATCGAAACTCCTGAGCACCCGGAAAGCTCATCTCTCCATTTCCCGTAAACTCCGGGACCGCCTTGATCATTCCCATCCATCGATCAGCAGACAGCATTGGAGCCGTGATGTAGGGCTCGATTTGCCAATTATCAAGGTGCTCGTTCAGACGGCGATAAGCCGCATCCGCCGCAGCACACTCCTTCTGGAACTGGGCATCCCTACTAATCCCGAGATGCTCTGAGAACCAGGCAGGATCTGATTTCATAGCCCCCGCCTCGTATAGAGCCAGCAAATCAGGGTCAACGGATGCGTCAACTGCAGCCTCATACGCCATGCGTTGTCCGATCGCTATTATCAGAGGCCGAAGATGGGGAAGTACTTGCTTGCTATATTCGTCACCGCGATGGTTGCCGATCTTCCTCAGCTTTTTCTTCAGGTCGGAAACGATGTTCTTTTCATGCTGTGCAAGTATACAGTTCGGCTTTGTGGGGCCAGGAATAGCATATCGACCAAGTAGAAGCTCGGTGGCGAGGCCTGTCAAATATTAGGGAGATGTTTCAGTTCTGCAAAGTAAGAATAGGAATACGCACGGATTGAGAGAACTAAAACTTCTCCTTCTGCAATACCAGTAGCCCGGGTCAAAACCTACATTGTGAGTAATCATTCAAACTTAATGTGTAGTAATCATTCAACTCACCTCAAACGTGGCCATCTGGTTATGTGGGTACACTCCTTGTGCACCACTTCGCTCAATAAGGTTTGCTAGACTCCATTGCCCATTCTGTAAGAAGACCGCCTTGATTATGACCCCCAGACCATGTTTTGCTCCAGGGTGTAGTGAATTGTCTGTGCTGTAGAGGTGTGTAATCCAGTCGCTAAACGGTTCCATGACAGCGATCTGCGCAAGGGAGTGCAAGATTGGGAGCTGCTGTGTTCTGAACGAAATAATAGGGACGCGTTCCCCGTGCACACCTGCTTGGACAGTCCGGCGTTGGCTGTATTTGCCGACGCAATATGCGGCACACTTCAGAAAGGGAATGATCCACAAGCTTAAAGCAAGGGCCCCGGTGCCCAGACGGTGTATGGCTGATAGATACTGGGCGCGCATGTCGGCAGGCATCGCGAGCTCACCCAACATTGCATTCGCTGGGAGATGGACATTGTCGAAAGAGGTCAAGCTATGGTCGAGCACCCTTCCTCCACTGATTGGGGGGAGAAGCCTGGATCGGGTTCTTTAAGTCATGGTGTGTTACATGAGATGACACCAATACTTACCATGAATGAACACCCTTGTTCATCTCCGTTCCATTGTTTATCGGGACGACAAAGGTCCGGATTCCACGGTCCTCTTCGTCAACCATCAACCGTGCACACACAATGGCGACTCGTCGAATGCCCTTGATTGGCATGGATGGTGGCATAAACCTGTACATGTCAGCATTTTGTAGGGTTTGTAATGGGTCCTGTGTCAATAGTACTTTACTGCCTCAGGCGTAGGCGTATTGAGGATGAAGCTGCCATCATGCTGCAGGGTTGCCGTCGTCTCCAAATTCCGGGAATCGCAGCCATGGCCGACTTCATTCAGCATGAATGGTGCACTATATAGTGTCACTATTTCTGCAAATTTCTCAATGAAAGAGTACCTACGAGATATCAAAGTTCAATATCTCTTTCATCAGCGGATGGAGATCGGGTCTCTTGAGGGCAAAAGGTGCCACTGTACCGGCCACCAGATTAAGTTGAATCGTCACCAATATGTGGGCAACGGCATCTCGAACAATAATTCCATCTTTGTGGACGGCCCAGAACTTGGGGGTCATATGAAGGCAATCCTCGAGGGTCACGCCTGGTGTTGTTAGATCTACTGTTACGGCCATGGAATGTACTGACCATGTAGTTGACCGATCGCTCTGGCTCGGTGATATGATCGTTCTAGCTCTTCGATACGAGGACCATCCTCAAAATGATGCTCGAAGGGTTTTGAGGAGAGGAGGCTAAGCGTAGACGAGTTGGATGAACGGTGGGACTGCATTGTGCCAATTGAAATAGTGCAAAACAACCGCTACGGGGCAATTCTTATTGTGCTGCGTAGGACCAGGCAAGGGCATCAATAGAAGCTCTTTATATACCTTCTACACCTACCGCCTGCCCAAATACTAATACATGTATAGCACCTAATGAAGTAACAAGAAAACAGAGTTTTGTGTGATTTCCGTTTTCGTCAGTTTCTGCATAGTTAAGTAATAGTCAAATTGGCAGGTTGACTTCGTAAGGACGAGTTTTAGACGATAGTTAGCCATTTGCGCGAAAGCTCATATGCAGATGGTGGTGTTCAAAATGGGAAAAGATCCTTAGCTTTATCAGTGGAGCCCTGAATGCTGACAGCCTATTGACCTTGCAGATTGTTCTTATTATTCGACAGTTGCTGAAAAACGTCACATCATTACCCCAAAAAGAAGTAATATTGCCCGTGATGATGTAATAACTGGTGAACAAATCAAGGTTCATAAATGAACGTTCAGAATAGTCATTTGCAGCTTTGATCAGTGAATGATGCAGCCTTTTCTCGTTCTGGGTAAAATATTGTGCGCATGACCGTCAGGTCTCCACATCAAATATGTGCACTCAGGCAAAATACCAGATCGATACTCTCATTGGGCATTATATTATGTTGGCATTCCTGATATGCATCCAGATTGGCAATATCTTCCTGACCAATAGCGAGAGCTGCCGAGGGCCGCAGTTCTCGGTTAAAGAGTATGCATCTACTGCCCAATTGCGAGGCGTATGCTGTACACCATTCTCGTTTTATTGTCTCGATTCGTATAATATATCAAATGAGGAGCCTAATGAGCGCGATCAACAGGCCCACGGGTGAATCCTTTTATTCCTTGACCAAGCGCATAGCCCCCGTGAATCCAGCAGAAGTGCAGAATGTCTTCGACTTTTTTCCAGCCGTAAGCCCCGAGTTTATCTTTGGCATATGGGAGGCCCATTTGTTGGCAACTCGCCATCCTCCGGAGTAAAGGCAGCAGCAATTCTACCCCATCTTTAAAGTTTTCCGCTCCCGTACGTCGGTGGAAAAATACTCGTTAGTGGGTGGGGAAAAGAAGCATCTCCCCGGATGGGGAAATTTGTTTGTACGGCTTTCGTATATAATCGTGTTGGCTTCTCGGCATTATAATGTTGGAGCTACTAATGTATGACTGAGAGTTGGCCGAATTGACTTACCGAGGTATTAGCTCTGCTGCCATGATCTATGGTGACTGCCCCTGGTCGATTATCTTCGGTATGTCGATGACAACACTATTGCTGGTGCTCAGTGGCCTCTAAAACAAGACAATGCCGGCGTGTTGTATTTCTATTCTGAAAGGAACTGAAATATGAGAGTCTGGAGGATAGCTTTCTCTACTGACATGTAGGGATGGAAGTTCGCATGGCACTAGCTCATCTCTCGCTTTTCTACCAGAACCATCTAACCCTGTTTTTATCTTTTCGCGTCGCCTTCCAGGAGAAATTTCCTTGGACTTGCCCATTGTCTCTGGTTTCCGGGACCATCTAGGGCGCTTATCTTAAACAAGCGGCCAGCGGCAATTTCCTCCTAAGACATGATCCCGTCATAGATTTGCTGTATCGGGACGCACACCTTGGATCTGCACATATTGCTCCACCTGAAAAGCGGCATTTCCCAAATCAGTGAAGCGCGGGCTCCAATAGATGCAAGGATTGGCCCTCCTGGCGTCCAGTACCACGCTGGCTCGATGCATGGGGCCTATTTGGTAAGCAACTGTGTTGCATCATGTAGGCCACCTTTTGAGATAGAAAGAGCTAGCTACAGTGAAGAAGACTAGAACCGATATGTGCTGAAGTTGCTGTAACATATATGCTTCGCCTGTGCAGACTGAGACGACCCCACCAAAGGCAGTGGACTGGGTCAAGAAGCTTCATGGCCTTCAAAGGATTGATCCGATCGAAATGGAAAAGACAACAGTGCTTGAGTATGATGCTTTCAGCGATCTGGCTGTCACTGCTGCTTTTGCTCAGTCGGTTTCTGCTTCTTTCGCACTGCCGCCCGCGACAATCAAAAAGGGGCAAATGTACCTGTCAAACTTCAAATATCTGGACGCTGAGCTCGAACCTTTGAGGAGGGAGATTGACCTGTCTGGCTATGCAATCCCAATTGACAACCTACGCCAACCAGGAATGGCCCAAGGCGCTCTCGCTGCTTTAGGTCGATTCATCATTGACAAGACCGGGGCGGACATAGGCTTCCTGTATCAAGATCTCAACGAAAGCTGTCTGTTTGAGATCCAGAACCAATATGAACAACAAAGAGATAAAGAGAAATCCGCTGCTGCTGCTGCTACACCTGGCCTGTCAATTCCTGAGTCTTCAAATTCCGAGCTACAGGTTACAGAGCGGCGTCAAAAAGTGAAATCCCGACCGGCACATTCGTCTATTTATAACATTACCCGGAATACTGAGGCTCCGGAGAAGGACAATGCCCCTGAAGCCCCGACCTTGAAGGTGGGACCTAGCACGTTTGCAGTTTTCTCAACCCCAGAGGGTCGATTCCCTGGTCAGATTTCAAAGCTGCCATGGTTGACCTCGGATTCTCCGTGCTCCCAAGATTCGGTTCCGTCTACACTTTCTCCCCGCCTCAGGAATATGCTGCCCAGAAAGCTATCACTTTGCACCGGCCCCATAAGTCTTGTATTGAGGGATATCGTCTTCTCATCCTCGGGAGACGCTTGGGGCGGCGGTATGGCTGGAACCAAAAGACTTTTGAGGTAGCGTAAAGTCCATAGGCTATCTATTTATCTTGGTTCTCTTCGTCCTGATGTAAGGGATCTGAAACGGATAGTGCTTACTTATCTTCTATGATTGCGAGCAAATTGTGATCTGACAATTTCTTGTCCAAGTGTGCACAGCGCTCGACACATGTTCTATAGGATGTTATTCGAGGAAAGTATATCGAACAAAATGCGAACTCTGCCGCTAAATTCTATTTCATGCCCGCTCAGTACTCGGATGTGTCTCTTTCCATTTTTCCAGGGACCATTGTATCATAGTATTTAGTATATAGTTTGCGCCACCTCTATATAAGTCTTAGACATCTATAAATCCCCACACCTCTTCACCTCCATCACCGGCCCATCATATTGATGTCTCCCCTGGAACACATACATAACAAGACTCAGTAAAAATACCGCCAGAAAAATTACAACACTCCAATTGAACGTCTCAGTCGTGACAGGTGTCGACTCGGGCCAAAACGACCAGAACAGGGCAAACAGTACATATAACCAGCCGATGATGTTGACCGTCAGGCCATATCGTCCCAAGCCCCAGCGCGCAGGGGGCAGCGTATGCGGGTGGAAAAGCTTTCTCCATATCAAACAACTCATTGATATAGAGTAGGAGAACATGAGAGCCGCTACGTTGAGGGAGACGATGGCGTTAAAGGCGGTCTCTGAGCCGATATTAATCAGGGCCAGCAGCGCGCTGATGATGCAGCTGAGGATGATGGAGTTTACTGGTAGCTTGCGTTTTTCATCGACTTTGGCGATCCAGTTGGAGAATGGGAGTCCATGGTCGCGAGCGAAAGAGAAGGTCTGTCGTGCCGTTGATGCGTTGAAAAGGACGTTGCTTACAATGACTGGAATGAGGATGATGGCTGTTAGGCCGTTGACGCCTGCTGTGTTGGTGGCTTGTTTGAAGACGTAAATGAAAGGGAAGCCGGTGTCGTCGTTGAGTGAGTCTTCGACGGATGGAGTTGCGAAGAGCATCGTGATAAGCACAACTAGTGCTAGGATGGCGTTGGCGAAGTAAGACCAGGTGATGGCGATGGGCACGTATCTGCCAGCGTCTTTGATTTCCTCCGACATATGGGCTGTTGCGTCGCAGCCTGTACTCGTCAGTGCTAATCTCTGGGCTGGTTGCGAGTATACCTACTGAGACAGCCATAGATGGCGGCAAGCTGGCCAACCATTACAGTAAGACCCATAGATGACCATCCACCGAAGTTCTCGAACTTTGTGAACACCGCTTCGGCGGGCTGTAGTGGAGCCAGAACCCAAAGTGTCACCACCACGACCAACCAGCAAAAAATGTGAGTTGCCAAAAGCACATTTTGCATCCGGGCCATGAATGCCGCACCGTATATGTTGAAGAAGAACGCAATTAGAATCATCGCAAACACAAACAATGTGCCTTGCCATCCAGTGGGGTCGTAGTCGGGGTCACGGACACTAATCAGGCCCTGGATGATGGTTCCAGTCAGGAACGAGCCCGATGCGGTTCCTGCCTGCCATGCCAGAACAGACATCCAGCCGGTCACGTAGCTGAGGAATTTCTGGTAGCGTGGGGATGCAAACTCGGAGACCCAGTGGTACTGGCCTCCAGATGTAGGCGCCCTAAACGGTTAGCTGATGTGGTCGTACTTTTGCAGGCGAGGCAATGTACATTGAGGCCATCTCAGATATAGAGACGATGATGAACCCAAATCCAATGGCACTCCAGACGTAGGTCCACAGCATCCCTGCCAACCCGCCATCTTGTAACCCTTCATAGTCCGACCTGCTAACACTTAGATCATGAGCGGAGTATGAGATTACCGGTCGCCTTACAGCATGATGTACTCCCACGTAGACTGCAAAACGGCCGAAAAACTGAGGGCGGCAAAAGACTGGATGTTTCGCTGCGATCCTAGTCATTAGTAGGGTGCGATTACCGGGCGCCGAATATCTACCTTGAATTGCTGGGTCTTTCCCATCCGATCCATCTCTGTCACGTCGTAGCGTGTGCCTTTGATGTCATCCTCCTCACTGGATGCATCGGCTTCTAGGGTGTGCGAGCCAGCAACGACGGGATCCTTGGCAGCATCCTGCTGCGTGTTGTGTGCGAAGACCATGCTGCACCCTTAGGGGAGCCTAGAGCCAGGCAAAGTACAGATAGAAGCACTAGAAAGAGAAACAACAGCGAGGTCGGAAGAGAAATTGATTGCTCAAAAGATACGGCGCAGGAAAATCAAGGTGGCCGAGTTCCCCTCACCTTATCAACATCCTGGGAGTCAAGTTAGCTTCACGTTAGTGGGTGCCCTAGCAAGAAACGGCCCGCCACCCGGCGCTGCACCAAGCATATTGGCTGCAGGTGTACGCGGCACACAGAAAAGAAGCGCAAATTTTGACATTTGCCGGTGCATTAGTTTACGGTCGCTCCGACGGCTGGACCGAGGGGTTGTCTCGCAGTTGGAAGACATCGTTCCAGCCCATGAGCAGTTCATGTCCTACCAGAACCGCCCTTAGGCACTTCCGTTGGTCTGTGCCCTTGTTCCGCAATTTCTCCACCTTTATTCATTGCTGACCTAATCAAGTGTCCGAGCGCTTTTTACCCTTCCTCTAGCGGGATGTTTATCCGCTATGCAGATTGCAGAGAGCCAGGAATCGGTGGGAGCTGAATATTAGTGGGCACGTCGCCATTAAAAGAAGAAGCCCAATGATCTAGTGTAGACAATTCTTTCCAGCACCAGTGGTAAAGCTAAGGAAGCGCTTGCGCAATGAGCTGCTCTTAGCTTTCTTGGCGGGCCATTTCAATTCAATGCTTATCTTCCATCTTATTGCTTGGCCGAGTATCCCTTGGTTTTCCATAATACTCGCCAATAGAAGAAGAGTATAGAATCACTAATCAGTCTTGAATATCCCCCTCTGTGAATCAGGATGACAACGTACATATCAGACCAGATATACCCCAATGCTGAATTCTGTATGCCCTTGATTTCGCACATTCTTCATGCGGCAATCGTATCAAACAATATTATTCTGATCGGGGGGTTGTATCTTCTAGAAATTTAGGTTGACGGCCAAGCCAGTATTGGTCACGCGATACTGGCATCGTATGTAGCCTGTTGCACTCTTCCAATGGCACAAAGATGGTATCGTTACCCAGAAATTTGTATGTAAAAGTATTTCCTACAGCTTTGCCAGTCTATTTATTTGCAAAATAGATTCTGCGTCCTTCCTAGTCCTCCGAACTATCTCCCCTGCCGGTAAAATTTCTTTCACCAAGCCAACCGCCGTGCCTGCAAACGTAGCTAGTCGCCCATTAGGTCCATAACCTGGGCTCCCCTTCTTCAGAGCCTGTTGGTACAGTTCGTAATTTTGCTGCTCAGTCACCTTACCGGCCACAAAGTCTGTGTGCGTTTGGTTCACGATCCCGCGAGGGGAATATTTAGATGGCCAGGACAGAAACCCACGTACCCGGTCATAGACAGCGGAGCGAATTGTATGGGTCCCCCCATCACTAGCTTCGATAATAGCTTGCTCGTATCCTTTCGGTATGGGAACTTCAAGAGAGGCCAGGAACCGAGTCCCCATCACTACCGCCTCGGCACCTAAGGTAAGAGCAGCTGCCACTCCTCGACCATCTACCAAGCCACCTGCTGCGACAATCTTCGGTTTTATTAAACTGCTCGAATTGTCTGAAGCCTTCGCATCCAGTTTGTCATTGACTTCTGGGACCAAAGACACAATACTAGCAGAGTGCTGCAATCCGTGACCCCCTCCATCACTGCCTTGCACGACGAGCACGTCAGGCTGCAGCTTGGTTACAGCGTCAATTGCATCCTCCACGCTTCCCACCTGTACCCATACAGTCACACTGCCGCCAGTTTGGGTCCGGATTCCCTCCACCCAAGGAACTTGATCTGCAGCACTGTTAGGTGGCGCAAACAACCACACAGCACATGGACGGTATCGAACGATAAGTGGCAATGCCATATTGAGATCGGCTCCCCAGCTCAGGAACCCGACACCGACCGGTAAGTTCGGGCCGTCATATAGCTGGAGACAGTTCTGGTCGGGAGAGCCGTCCGCTGCCTTGTACTCTTTCACGAGCTGTTCGGCTTTCTGGAACTTGTCTTGCAAGTTTGATACATCAGTTCCACCAGCAATGAATCCTATTCCACCGGCTGCCGATACGGCAGTGGCTAGCTCTGGGCCGGCAATGTTGAGCATGGGAGCTTGTGCTATTACTGGTGCTTTTGTCCACGGGTAGGTTGACTGGAATGTAGACCTTTGATCCATAATGACGGCGATAGGTGAACGCGCAATTTGAAACTTCAAGCTGGCTTCCAGAAGACCCTAATCCAAATTGAATGAGTATAGGTATAGCTAATACCCTGATGAAGGTGGTATGTGGCTGCTTGTAAAGGAATTCTGCTCCACGGTCCAACGGATGATCGACGTCTTCCCCGCTTTCTTTGTCTTCCCTCTCCACCAGCCAAAATGCGAAAGACACCCGATAAACAAGGCACCTGCTAATTGGGTCCCTCCCGCCATACCCGCAGTATCCGCACTGTTGTGCCATTTTGACATCATAACTCTTGACACATAACTTAAGAACGCATCTATTGATGGGTGAACCGTTCTTGTTTGAAATTATTGACAATTATCTGATCGAACGGAATCTGTAGTCAAAAACTTGAATATGTCGGCAACCATCAACGTAGAGTCAGTTCACAGGTAGGTGGCTATCTGGGACTAAGCTACTAGAAGGTCTGTGTCGCATTGATATAGAGGCCTATTGTTAGTGCACACCTATTTCCAACCCAAACAACTGTGCTGGTTATTTGATGAGAAAATTGCTGAGTTGGCACCTAGATTGGTTACTAGTCATTTTACAAATTGTTTTTCTGTGGATTTTCTCGCTGATGTTTTGTATTTATACCCTCATCGCTAGCATTGTTGAGATGGCTTCCGTAGTGCTAGCCAGGTACATACTCACCGTGCCGGAGGAAAATCACCCAGTAGAGCTGGTTAGTTTCCCCAAAAGAGGCATTATTTCACGTTCCCCATGTCGGTCTATAGTCATCATCTTCGATCACCCAGAAGATTGGCATCTTTTTAAAACAGTAATCGAAAGATCTGTGCCTGATAGATAGAAACGACTCCCTCTTAGATGAGTGACTGGTTATCCAGATCTCATAGACAAGTTTGTCCCTATATCTTGTCTGATAAGTGGACCAACAATAACCGATTTGTCATTGCGAAAGACACCTTTGCTGCAGAAAGAACATCCCGATGATAGCAACCTAGTTGCTTGATGTCCCCTCTAGCAATATTATGGGCCCTCTTCGACACTGTAGAGCCAGATCGGAGCTCTCCGGGCAACCCTGGTAGATCAACCTAACAACCTACCGGAACATTCAGCTACAGCCTTATTCAGGACTGCATATTGATTGAGTGACCACTGAGTTATCCTGACTTTCTTTCTTTCAAAGTCTATAAATGACCCTAGATTCGCTGTTGTTCTCATCTTTGAATTGTGCATCTTCAAGTGTATGAGGGTCCACTTCTTCGAAAATGGCAACAAGCGCACACGCTGACAAGCCTCAACTTCCTCAATGGGAGGTGGGCAACGAACCCAAATTCATTGCTGAAGTAGCTGAGCTGCTCAAGGACAGTAACGTACCTTGCATCCTAGTCGGTCCGGCGTATCATCGAGTTCTCGGGATCCGTGGTGGAATTGAGGTAAGTTACGCTCGACCCCTCGGTGATATAGATACTAATTGGATCTAAGACCGTCAGTTTTGCCATCGATGGGAATCATCTCAAAAAGGCGCGAGAGGCCCTAGAGGTAGCAGGGCTGTCACGTCAATGTAGAGACGAAGGTACCTGCTGTTATTCGCAGCCCAGCTTCCGGTTCAGGGTCCCAAAGCCCAATGACCTATTCCACATTGAGAGATTCCAGGATGGGGAAAAGCACCCTGAAATAGGGCATATCAGTCTCTACAAAAGGGAAAAGTGGCTGCCTCGGCTTTCTAGCATACCCGTTAGCCCGCCTGAGTCCGATGATCTTGACTATCTCTTGGCAAGTGATGAACGGCTGCCCTTCGCGTGCGAGGAGCATCGTCGGGCATGTCGCGATAATGACAAGGTCAACGCTACTAAGTGTGTCTGTGACAAAAAAGGTGAGAATTACACCTGCGGAAGATACCCCAAGTCACTTCCTGGGGTTATGATCCTCCGTCCTGCCCGTCTCGTCGAGACCTGGGTATCAGCTGAAGTCAACCAATGGCTTCTAGAGTACCACCGGGACATCGAACTCTGTGGTGACCAAGGGCGGTTCTGGGACGCCTTGTACTCTTTTCCAGATTATAGCCTCTGGAAGTTTGACGCATTCGCGACTGAATTTCAGCTTTGGTGGGTGATGGTGCGTCTTACTGTTGGATACGTTCGGGGTCTATCTGTGCCACAATTGGACCCGGAAGGTTGCCGCGACAGGGACGTCCCAGAAGAGACATTCCCTAGAGGATTGTTCCCAAAAGAGGCCATCCCCCCAGGCTTCCTCCCGCAAAACATTCTTGAACTAGAGAATTTTGAGAATGAGGATTCCACGGAGGATGAGGATAGGACCTCTTCTGGAATGAAACCCCAGAAAAAGGCTACTGCTGCAGATATATCATTTAGAAGACGAGAGCAACTGCGCATCATTCGGCAGGATATGCTGATTGAGCTTGATTGCAGACGTATGATGCATCCTATCAAGGGTGTCAGTCCTGTCTAGTATAACCAGGAACTCGTCTCTCTATCCCTTTGCTTTGTTTTGTTGTGCAGCTCGAGACTGTGCCAAATTTGATTGAATCGGCTTCCATGAGACTGGAACTCCACCAGTCAGGTGCTTGACAAAGCCTTAGATACAAATAAAGTGAGCCCTCTATTGCTTTCTTGATATTCAAAATTTTAGGACAGTAGAGACCAAGCACAGGAGCGTAGAAATTCACCATTGTAGGGGGCCAATATGAAGTTAACTAAGCCTGTCTTGTGTGATGCTGAGTCATCTATGTCAATGCACAACTTGTCCCGTCGCAAATCCAATCTTCCTCTTGACTCCTCCATTGTTTCTGTCTTCCCCGACGCTATTTCTCTTTTCCTATCTCGCATCCAACCCAACCTTTGATGCCGACCAGACGCAGCTGGCGGTGCGCTCAACGCGTACCTCCCGGTCTTGTCGGACCGCCATCTATTATCAGAAGAGCTAGGAGCCCGCGACCCCCATCGGTGTGGTTCCAGATTCACATCCCGTCCCGACATGTCTACACTCTTGTTCGGACAACACGAATACGACCTACACCCTACCATCATATGTACCAACCCCTACACTCAAGTAGCTGTTCTCAATTACGTACTCTTTTTACCGAGTCTATACCACCAATCCTGATTCCTCCCGTCATCTTCACGGGACTGCTTCTTTCTCTATGGACTTGGAAATGCTTCTGGATTGTAGTCATGCAAGAGAAGCTTCTCTATCTCACCTGGCTGCCACCATTTGCACGATCTGAAACGGTCTCCGACTATGAGGGTCAATGTAAGCCAGTGCGCTGGCAAACACAGCAAATTCGGAGTCGCGATGGTACAAAACTAGCAATATGCGAAGGTCGCATACCTGTCCAAGCCACCTCGCCTGGAAGCATTCAGGAGTGGAAACATCACTGTAAGAAGAGATTAGTAGTGATTTGCTACTTCCAAGGCAACGGCGGCTCGACCCCCATGAGGTTGCCCCTTCTATCGCAGTTCCTGCGCGCAATCCGTGCGTCTCAAAGATCTTCTCCTTCAGCATCTGAAGAGAAAGACTACGTGGTGGTTGCTCTCTCCTATCGTGGTTTCTGGAAATCATCTGGTCGTCCTACTCAGCAAGGTATTGAGCTCGACACTCAGGCCTTTCTTGATTGGGTTAAGGAGACATATGCAGCTCCGGACACAGATCTGCAGGTCATTCTGTGGGGGCATAGTTTGGGAACAGCGATCGCAACTACCGGTCTCGCTACGTATCTTCCTCGGTCGCACACTTCAGAATTCCAAGCGCCGACTTCTATTGCCGGTGTTATTCTTGAGGCACCTTCATCCAGTGTCAAGGATATGTTGATCAGCCTCTATCCTCAGAAATGGTTGCCATATCGATATTTGTGGCCGTTTTTGCGGAGCCATTGGGATAGTATCCTGGCTATGGAGCGGATGTCACGGTGGAGAGACGATCTCAAGAATATAGATGATCAAAGTGTGGATAGCGATGGTGACAAAGCTGTATTGCCACCAGTCCTAATATTGTCTGCCGAGAAAGACGAGGTAATCCCGCCACATGCGGCAGATGACCTGGAACGAGAAGGGAAACGCCTTGGCCTGGATATCTCTCGAAAGCATGTTCTCGGAGCTCTGCATACAGAGATTCCGGTCAAGCCGAGTGGTAGAGAAGCTATGGTGAACTTTGTTGCTCGATGTACATCTAGGCCTCCCGGGGATAGGCGCAATGTTACTTAGTACATTAGGAAGTTGGCTGGCCAATTGTCCCTAAAATATTTCAAATACTTATATCCCATGCTACTATCTCATGTAGACTTAGTTTTTCATGCCTCCGAGTCTCCATAAAGCATTGCATTCAGCTTTTAGGGACAGACAAAGGATCCAGACGAAGGTAGGAGGTTATACCAATCCCCAAATCTTGAGTTTTACTATGAACCGAGGATGTGAGCCATCGTATACCCTTGCGACAGCCAGCGAAGTCAGACACAAAGATCGCATGAAGTGATAAGATGAGAAGTTATACCCACAAACTTGATACAAATACTCAATTCCACCCTTCCTTCTAAGCCGCATCAATACACAAATCACGCTCCCAGTAAAAATGATCAAAAATCCTCCATTCGAAATACACTATATGACGGCTGCTCGTATGGATGAGCCCTACCCAACCGATCAACATTCAATCATCTTTCTTCACTTTCACACCAACGAAAATCAACATACTTCTTCAATGCCTCCACAGCCTGCCGTGCAACATCCTCTCCCACACAGATCGTCTCAACCCGGACCTCCGGGATCTCCTCCAAGACCCCCACAGTCCCAGTATGTGAGTTAGCAGCATCACCAGGACGGAACTGGCCAGTTCCAGCAGTGGTCCAGCAACACTCGGTATACTTCCCGCCGGGGTAGCGACCCGCCCCAGCAGCAAATATGGCAGCTTTGCAGGCCGCAAGGCCGGTTGGGGGGACATTGAATATCAGGCGGAATTGAGTGGGAGACATGTTTGGGTTGAAGTATTTTTGGGGTCGAAGCAGTGGGATTTGCTACAGATATTTTCAAGGGCAAGATGATGAGGGTGGCTCTAAGAGTGGAGGAAAGACGTGATCGTGAGGATGTGTCTGTGTTTGACCCCTCACGCTTGCCTAATGCGGAATGGTGGCGTTACTCTACCGATCTATTTAATGACCACTACTGAGTATAGGCACTTTTGATGGTACAAGTTCAAGGGGCTTCCTTGATTTTCCCGTGTACACACACTCGAGCTTGGTTTCTACATCCTGTTACCCTACCCTGCAGGTCCTGGTCTATCTCCCGTGGCATGTTGTAGATCTGATCTGCCGAGTGGCTCAAACTCTGGACCAACATTCCTCCTGCTACTATAATATCATATGAAAGATATCGTTGCTACTTAAACCGTCTCAGTCCCCATCTGACGCAACCTAGGTCCATACCGACCCAACAGAAACGGGATCGGAACAGCCACCAGACAAATGAACGCCAACAGGGTGGATCCCCTAGATGAGAAACCATTAGCAACTACAAAATCAATCTGATAATGCAGCCCATACATACCAACCATACCCTAACCTTCGATACAGCTGAAACCCAACCACGGAAAAGACCGCCGCAACAATAAACCTCGCCACCACAGCAGCAGCAAGCGCACTAGCCGCATACTCCTCAAACGCATCGACCAAATACGACTGCACGCAGATATACGCCGTGACCATGCCCAACCCCAGAATAGCAGCTCCCACGAGCGTCACGATCCAGTGGACATGATATTCTGCAGTCCATCCGAAAATCAGTAGACCGATCGGCACGATCAGCATGCCAACTTGCATAAACGGTAGACGGAATTCGGGCATGCGGGTCGCTTTTCCTGTTTTTAGCTCGTAGCGGGCGGCTAAGTATCTGTATGACGGGTTGGAGTATTTCATGCAGAAGGCGACGCCGGCGAATGCGCCGAGACCGGCGCCGAGGAAGGCTAGGCCGGTGGTTCCGTGTTTCCAGTTGTAGCTGTGGAGGTTGAATTTGGGCTGAGAGGCGAAGAGGAGGGTGATGGTTACCATGTGGAGGTAGAGGAGGCCGAATACTCTGTTTGATTTGTTAGTACTTTGATAGCCAATCAGTGGGGAATTCCAGTCATGTACAATGCTAGATAGAGACTCATGAACGTGCATATCGGTGAAAAGAAAAGAAGCCGGAGAGGACGCAGAATAGACTGTCGGAAGACCTGAGATGCGTGCGAACCCATCTCAACTCGGTAGGTGACCCCTGGAGTCGCCTTTTCCAGGGCTCTCTTCCGACGTTGCAGCAGGACCGGCGCATATGTTTCCTTCTGGAAGAGAACAGCGATGCTGGTAACGACACCAGCAGCTATAGCGACCACCCAGAGCATCCATCGCCAGCCATGCGTGCCGTGGGCAATAAACCCACCAATAACGCCTCCAAGGACTGGGCCACATATAGGCCCCAGGCCATACACCGCTTGAGCTTTGCCTCGTTCCTCGTGAGAAAACAGATCCCCGATGCTGCTGCCGCCTAGGCTAGGCCCTGCGGAGCCAGCCACGCCCGCTAGAAAGCGTAGAGCAACCAGTCCGGCCATATTATGTACCAATGCACAGCCAATGTTGAGGAGGGTGAAGATGGCAAAGCAGATCGTGTAGATGGGGCGACGGCCAAATATTTCCGAGCATGGTGCTACGCCTAGGGGCCCTAGTGCGAGACCCACCAGGTAGAAGGCGATGGGAAGGGCTGGGGTATATGGGCTCGTTAGATGGAACTCGGTTGCGATGTCGAATACACCTAGAGTTAGAATAGTTGATGCGATCGGGGACAGAGTCCCTTGGAGAGAAATTAGAAGCACATTGAGCCATTTCCGACTCTTTGGCCAGTGTCGAGGACATTCTGGATCATCTGGTCCATTCCAGTCCTGTCAGAAGTTTAGTTAGAAATTCCTTGAATGGTTATTTTAGCGGAGAAAATGCAGTACTCACAACAACGATGGCATTGATGGTAGAATTTCCAACGACCGGGCGTCTCTCCATGGTTTTGAGAGGACTACTGCTACCGGAAGCAGATTGCTCTTTTTCATCTCTCTGGGTCATTGTATCGTACATGAGACTCCAAGCTGAAGATTCACGCCAGTTCAAGGGAGGGTTTATTTCTACAAGTACTTTGAACGGCCTCACTTAAAACGTATGTTGAGAAATACTGCAATACAGCCACTGAGCATCCACCCCGCTTTATCTGCAATAATCATCATTTGTATAGAATAGTGCGCTATATGCTCGAAGCCTAAGCCGCTGGATTATTATGCACATTTCCCAGCCAAAATGCTCCCTCTTGCGCATCGTCCCATGTTACGGGGCATATATGTGCCACGACTACGACCTGGCCTATCATATATTGAGCAGGATGCATTTCAGTGTATTTTAATCCCAAAAAGGATGGCCAATAAAGCTTTGCCAGCATCACTGCCAAAATTTAGTCGAGGGTTTTCCTATGCCTAAAACCTTCAGCACGAGCAAGTTTGAAGCATATCTCAGAAACAAGCCATGAGAAATTTTTTGGAGAGGACATTGTCTCTCAAGACTGCCATGTACCGCATCAGGGGTAGACCCCCGTGAGGTTCTTTAACGGCTGCCAGGAGAATAGAACTTACCATTCGTTCCTGGACTGCACGCATGAATTGCTGCTGCGAGTAGCCGCTGGGTCGGCTTCGAGTCAAGTCGTACAATGCCGGATGTTCATGGTGCGGGCTGTTTATTTCCGCCCAGCTATTACACGATCAGCAAGGTTCTACTAGCGTTGGGTGTGGCCCACGGGCAGTGAGGCCCTCGTCGGCACATTGGACGAATGAGGAGATTATTCGCTTGGGAACACAATGTAACACAACATGATCGAATTATCCGGTGGATTTGCAATGATCGCTACAGCTGTCGGGTAGATACATGGCAGCAGGGATGAGAAAAAAAGGGGTACCTAGAGAGTGGAATGCTACTTACTGATGAAGCGAACAAACAATCAGATCACCTGACCATCCCTACCCGAAAATGATCGACCTGTCAGCGAGCATAAAAATATATGATTGCATAAAATAGAATTAGAATTAAGTATTCCACTAACTTAGCAAAGTTTCATAGTTCATCATCCATTCCACATTCCATCGATTAAGGCTCCCGCACAAAAGTGCCCACCCACTCCCCCCAAGCCAACACACTCTCCTTCTCCATCTCCAGCCACTGCAACAACTCCTCCTTCCCCCAAGGCTTCTCCTCCAACGCCTTTCCCAACGCCAACACCTGAAAGAAATACCGATGCGAGCCGTGTCCCAGTACCGGTCGCGGCCCACTCCACACATTCTGGTGCCAGTTCACCCCGTACTGAAATCCCCCTTGTAGTGCCCTCTTACTCGCGTCCGTCAAGGCAACATCATCTGAAGAGATACTGGTTTTGTCCTTTGAAAATCCGTAGTATAGCCCATGCACGATTGGATTCGGCAGCGGTGCATCGGCATCCTCGACAATGAGCACGTAGCTGTTGATTTTCTCCGTGGGCACGGAGTCGTTGGGTACCGTCCAGGAAAGAGGCGGGAAGCGGTTCGCGCCAACCTGAGTGTATTCTGCGGGTAGTGGAGACTGCGATGGGCCCACGGACGAGGTTACCACGATGGTGGGTTGAAGCGCCTGAACAACAGGGCTGATGCGCGTGAGTAGCTTTGCGTCGCGGCCTCGTTTGTTGCGCAAGAGACGCCCCAGGAAGGCCTCGATGCGGGGAGGGAGTTTGTCCATGGTTAGATTGGTTGAGTTTTGGCGGGGGACTGTTGGAGTGTGGAAGTCATTAGTCGAATTTTGAGTTGGGATGGCTGTTATTTAACTGTCAACGAAAGATATTAACGCCCCTATTGTATGCCCGAGCCCGATAGCGGGCCGCACTTGGAAGGATTAGGAAAACAATGTATCCCAGAGCCTATTTCCGGGTGGCCGTGAAACGGTGAAAGGCAAAGCTCAAGACCCACTAGGATGTACTGACTACTGATGGATCTTCACGAGCGGTTAGCCAGTTTGGCTATCGGATAGTGCAGAGAGTTATTCCGACGGTATATTGGTTTAAATTGGGCTCCCATTCTAAATATGCTGTGGTCATCTGATGACGTGCCAGCCAAAGACGGTGGCATCGGTAACCCATGGGCTTCGTATCGGGACTTTCGGAGTTTCCCAATGTAGAAATAAAATTACGTGTGGCGACGCTACTGCGGCGCCTTTGGGTAGAAAGTTGAAATGGTTGAAGCATAACCCTGTGCTAGACCCGCTGCTTAGGGGCTATGTAAGCTTAATCAATCTTATCGCCGGTTATGCACCTTAGTTGGGGACGGAAAGAGGAGAAAGGATGTTGCGGATTGATCATTGACTTCCTGCCTCTGTCTACTATTGCGATATATTGCTACAATAGTAAGTGCTCTTCAACAAGTCGTCTCGATGGTGTAGTTGGTTATCACGTGGGTCTCATACTACAGTATGACGTGGAAGCATAACTTCCATGCGATCCCAAGGCCGGGAGTTCGAACCTCCCTCGGGACAGATCTTTTTCCTTTCCTTAGTTTTTTCTTCCGCTTTGAATACAACTGTTCTTCTTCTCAAAAATAAACTCATTATTATTTTTTCCCGCTCCTTCATGTAGTCAAATTCACACATCACAGGCCTCCCTCATACATACTGGTAGTACTAGTAGCCTTCTTAAGTTGCCTTCATATCCACAACGTCGACTTCAGGTTGAATGAAGCCGATCTTCGGCAAAATATATTTCAATCACGCTAATATGACCAGGTGGGTGGAGTCATTCTTCAGCAGTACCTACTACCACTTTCTCTCCTCATAACCCTTTCCAGCCCTGTCATCATTTGCCAAACGACCTTTTTTAAATCCTCAGATGAAGCAGCCTATAGAATACCCTCCTCCCACATGGCTACACAAAGTGCCCAGGTGAAGTCGATTTTGCGCTGGCAATCATCGTCACACATCAATCTAAGTGCGGCTGGGTTGTATACGTGGAAATCTGGCTGATCCGCCTCAGTTAGATATTTAATCGAGAACATCTCGAGGGCCTCTTGCTCTTCGGGTCTTGTAGTTAGCCCCACGACCCTGGAGACAGCATGGCCACCTGAAACCACTTCTCCGGACCAAGGAATCGAAATGTCAAATCGCTCGGGCGTATGCTGCGTGTATCTTGAGTCATCCATGAGGTCGCTATACCCAGGGAGGGTCCCCTTGAACTTCCACCCTACTCTGAACCTCAGGTTTTCGGGGACAGCAACAGCATTTCCATAACACGATGACGAGCGTTTGACATTTGCCATATGAAGGTCGCCAGAATAATCAAAATCTCCGGTTCGTACTTGCGGTTCTCCATAGACTAAGTCATAAAGGGCTCCGAGCCGAGCATAAGCCCTCTTCAATGATTCGGGTCTCAAGTCTCCTTTGCACAAGGAAGGCACTATATCGCCTATTTCTCCAGATGCCATGTCATACCCAAGGTCAGTGAAGTCATGCATCGCCACCAGCGCACACAGAATGAGAACTGTAGTGTCGTCGCCTCGACTGTCGTAAAGCCCATTCGCGAAAACGCCATCGGTGCAACGGAACGCGCACAATGGGTTTGAGGTCGTCCCATACAACATATCCCGGCGCTGCGAGCAGCCTCTTCTCTTTCCATCTTGAACTAAGATCGCCCATAGTTGGCAAACTTCAGTGTCACCCTGTCGCCCACATATTCGTGACCAATGCCGCTCGCCCCCTCATACAACGGTTTCTGATCGCCTCCAGCTCTGCATCGCCCTGAGGCCGGCTTCCGATCGCGTAGTCGTACAGAAACTGAGTGTCTTGCATTGACCATACCCCGCCGTACGCTCCGCCATAGACGAAAAAGTCAATAGCACAACTCAGACTGTACACACAAGTATTACGCATAATTCCTCTAGCCTCGAAAGCCTGGAATATCTTTGCCATTTCGGCACTTCGGACCTGACCGACACCGTCTCCTTTAGGGAACACATTTCCCTCGATCACCGGATGGCCAACCCGACTTGGAAGCGCCGGAACAAACGTAATATACCCGTTACCCGTTGGAGACTGGTACACCCTTCACGCTTGCAGTGGCTCTCGCGTTCAAGCTCAAGTCGACGGAAACTGTTGCCGAGACGATAAGATTCCCCAGGTCCCCCACGGCAGCATTCCGAGCAAACAGTGGCCTGGTCACAGCGTCAACGGCGACACATAATCTGCAACTACAACCCTCGGTGGAACGACCCAGGCTAGTGGCTGTATGATAATAATCAAAATCTGCTACAAGCGCACTGTCGACAACAGAGCCAGGTAGCGAAAAACCCATGTCGCGCAGGTAATCTGGGTCGATTGCAGCTTTATCCAAACTCATACCAACTCTCAATGGTGGGTCTGCTCCGCTATTTTCCCAAGAGGCGTTGAAAACGTCCTGCATACGAGGCCTATGGATCGCTGGCTCCAGTCGCCGGACGCTCGTCAAAGATTCTTCAGACCTCTTCGAGTGCTTTTGAAGCGAGACGATTCTACCCAAGATAGATCTCGAGCAGGTGACTTCCTCTCGAACCATAAGTTACCGCATGCCAGTTTGTCAAGGTAAGGGCAACGACTTCCGCCCGGGCCTGCTCCCGTGAGTCCGGGAGTCATGCAGCTGCTGGTAAGACTGGCAGCCAAAGACCCTTGGCATTTCAGCAACACTCGGTACGTACTTTGTTTTTAATTGATGATTCTTTCTTCGGTCGCAGCGGCACAGCTTGGCTCTGTGCATCCTGACTTCAAGAGGTCGTCAACATGATCAGGAGAGCCGGGTTTCACAATCTGAAAGGAGCCTTCGACGGCATATTTAGCTTGGTGGGTACCGTCGAATCCCTGCAAAATGAGGTCTTACAGCTATTCGAATGAAGCTATGTTGGATGGTTCCTCGAGAAGCCACTTGAGAAGATCTTGACCACAAACTGTCGACATAATCTGTACCCTTTTGAAGTTAGTCTTGAAACCCTCTGGGGTTGGGGATTCTCAGCCTAACAGTCTCTTATCAATATCAGCCGGGAACTGAGTAGTGGTGGATTTGAAGCAAATATTTGTAAACTGGCAACGTGGTGCGACTACGAGTGATAGATAGATAAATACATTAATGAGGCACAATCCAGCAGAAGCCAATGTAGCTTTTAGATCCTTGATAGCTCAAAGGCATAGAATTGAACGTCACAGTTTATTCTATTGTCCTCTATTTCCCCGCTACGTTATAGTCCCAATTCGTCCACTTACCTCGAATTAAAGTTACTACAAATAAGTATCTGCTATCCCAGGGAATGTTACACAAGCCAGAACAATTCCCTGTTCAAGTTGTATAACGTAGGCGCTAATATATACTGTATAGCTTATTCATGAACCTTCTCCCAACCTTGACCCTAACACATTTCCTCTCGAGACTTGTTCTGTTTTAGTGCAAGGGATAGAGGGAGGTTATCAAATAGGAAATCTTTCATAACGCCTTGCTTTGTGTAACGGATGTTTTCTCTTTGTGGGCCTAATGTACGTTATGTGCTGTCATTCAACACCATTAACTATAGAGGGTAAACATTCCACTACTCGAATGACAAGTGCGCAGATCAAGCCCTTACAACCGCAACGCATGACTCCCATGCTGCCGGAGCCTGATGAAGACCCCATGAAGGGAAACATTTCCCTATGATACAGAATACATTGGGAAGTTCTTTTGCTGTCGACACAACAAGATGCATTATGGGCATGCTACATTCCTGGATAATGTAATTACAGGTAATAGTGAAGCTCATCGGGTAATTATTCCGATCGGTTCAAAGCAGGAATCCCGAACCCGCCGAGTGTAATCTAGCATGCGTCTCGTCTAAAGCTGCTGTCCTGACTTAAAGGAGAAGGTGAGGGTTGGGATTCCGCATGGAGTTTCCATAATCTTCTTCATAGGATATAATAACAGACAATCTAGTACATACGACCATAGGGTGTGGAAAACAGGGCTTCACGTCCGCTCAGCCGTACTTAAGCCACACGCCGGGAGGTTAGTAGTTGGGTGGGTGACCACCAGCGAATCCCTTCTGTTGTATGTTTTTATCTTCTATTCATTTTTGTTTCCTGTTTTTCTTGGCTTGATATTCAATTTTATTCGCTTCCATTTGAATTCATCGTGGTGACGCTGGAGCGCGTGGCCATTTTCTAATCATGGGAACCCGTGCGCGAGCTTCCAATTTACATCTAAATTCCCTGCTAGGCGAAGGTATCCTTGGTTTAGGCCGTTCAGGCGATGGCGTGCGTGGAAGCTGAGCTGATATCCGTGAGAAAGATTTTAATCTAGCACAGAAGCTCGCCTGACATAGCTCAGGGTGTAAGTAAGCCACACTCAAGGAGTCGACGATCTTAGCGACCCAAGCACTGAACGGATGCAACCATCATAGGTAGGTAATCTTTAGGAGAGTGTTCTCTTGAGGTACAGGAGATATTCGGGCCTGGCATTTACCAGGCGTGTAATTGCATTAGGGGTGCCAAGAAGATTGTCTTAACAAAATACTTTGTGATGTTGTCATAGACCTAGGACCTATTTCCGGCATCACCGGCCCACTTCTGAAGAGCAACGAAGATACATCAATGATAGCTAAAGTAGCAGAAGGCAGGGCTACCGCCGATCTGCAATACAGAAACAAGACTTTCTCAGCGAAAGGACCCAGCTCGCCACCGAGGTTACATTTAGACTTACCATCTTTTCACTGGTATAGTTCACGACTGGGTAAATGGTTTGCTGACCCCAGTGTTAGTGATGAAAAGCTGGCTGGCCCTGACTTAGCACCACTGGCCACCGGAATTCCAGCAACCTTCCAAGAATACTATACGTCGTCACAAGGCGAGGTGTGGCTGTCATCAAACAGTTTGGTGTATCCTGGCACCTCATTTAGGTTGCCCATCAGGTGCCTCCTATTGGGCGATGGAGTATATTTCCAACAACGTTTTCGGAAGGCTGGCTATCAGCACCTGGGGCTTAGGGCTCAGACTTCTTCACAGTTCGAGTCTGCAACCGACTGCAGGTTATGGCGTCTGCAAAGAGGCCTGGGTAGCAACGACTTTCCACGTTCGGCCTACAGGAATGGAGTGGGGCTACAGTCTGGGCTCGGAGGCCCCAAAATAAACCTAGTCTTGTCCGGCTGCGGCTGTTCGACGCTGATCCCCAAGGCAATTCAAATGGGTATGGCCGCCAAGGTACTTCAGATCACCATGACACGTTGCATATGGTACGACGGCCAGCGGCATCGCAACCCACCTTTCTCCTAAAGCCAATCAGAGATGGACATGATATGGAACCCATGGAATGAAATATCGAGAGTATGCAGCCGGATGAGACAATGGCATCCGCCATTCCGCGGCTGCTACCCTAATATTTGCACGACTTGTGCAGTTTCCAGGGCCCCTTCCTACAACACAAGCCGAAAGAAGTCTATGAGGTGTGAACCTCCTATAGCAAGATTAGTAACTATACGAGGCCGTGAGCCTTCATTCGTGACTCTCTAGGACTTATCGCTACTCGAAGTTTGATGAGGCACCAAAATTAGCACCAGAACTTGATATATCTGGGCTATAATGCAAGAAAATAACATTCATGATACTTCGTTGATGGTCAAAAATACAGAGTGCCAACCTTCATTTGGCTAGCTTTTACCAGGTCCATTAACCAGAAATGAGTCCGTAAGCGTAAGGAGGGTGCTTCTGATCTCGAATACCGCGGTGCATAATGTTGCACTCAAGTGCGTCATTATCGACTTGTATACCACCCTAAGGATAAGTGGCATCGAGGTTCGAGCAGGCTGGTCAGCACGCCGTCAATTTTCCCAGTAGAAGCAATTGGTGCAAGACACCGTCATCAGCTGGAGCCATCCATGGTAAATTTATATCATGTATGCTTCCGGCACATATCCGCGATGTACAGTTGTATCTGCATGCGGTTGACTGTAACAATAGATTGGGTTCATCCATGTCAGTATTCCTGCGAAGTCGCCGCGGAGTTCAGCTTCACCTTCATTTGAGGAGGGAGGGTTGCATGCAGCTCCCACAGATGCCTATATAATCCCGGGACAATCCCTCCACGAGAATCGTTTATCCTTCATTGACAACCGAATCACCTACAGAGTCATCTTACACTAGAACACCGCAAAAATGTCTGGAGACGAGACTGAAGAACACTGGTTCAGGGTGATAAACAACAGTGGTGCAGCACAGAAGTATATTTTCTTTGCTCCACCTCCCAGCCCCGACTTTTTGACTCCTGCCTGGATTGCAAGCGACAACATTAACAATGAGACGGTCTGGGATATCCACACCACTGCGTACCTCTATGCCGGTATGTCGATTCATTATGTGTTTATCTTTCTTGTAGCCAGAACCGACCCACAGACCGTTCAGAGACCAGGCTGATGCGAAACACAGGAGTTGGAACACTTGAAGGGAACCATGTCAATATTGATCAAAGTCATTGGTGGGATTCAGGGATTAGACTCGGAGGCCCAGGTAGTTGTATCTATAAAGCGCTCGATGCTATTCCCCTGATAAGCACTGACACAATGATCAGAAATATTCAACCTTGTCTTCGAAGAAGGAGGTGTCAAGCTACAGGAGACAGGAGAAAACGCCGAGTCTCTAAATACCTTTGCTGTTTTCACCAAGGACATCCCAAACGATGACAAGACCTACGTGCTTGCCTTTGGAAAACGCCAACAACCAGACGATCCCGAAGACCTCGGACCTGTTCATGCGTGCGCAGCGGTATGTCCGTAATTCCTGCGATTTATTCCCATCTGCCCGCTTTGTTTCTGTTAATGACGCCACTTGTCTTTCTAGATTCCCGTCAAGCCAAACAACAGTCAGCATGTGACCCCTATTATCCAGCTTCATGTCTCCAACATCCCCACGACCCCGGGCGACCTGGTCGATTATGGTGACTTCAAAGAGAAGTCTGCACACATCAACTTTGCAGGCCATACTGAGGACGCAGCTCTCTGTACCGTTCTCCACAAAACAGGCGAGGACAGTAATGCTGTATGGGACACTGCTTACGATAACACACTCCCTGAGTTTTAGACCTGTTTGTGCTCAAGTAGATGCAGGCTGGATTTTCTATTGCTCTAAAAGCTGAGGGATAGCTCTCATCGCTATTGGCAGGAGTCGGGTGATAGATCTTCGATTGATTAGCTAGCCTGTATCAGATCAATGTTAATTCTCTGCATTTTCGTAACGACAATAGAACGTACAGATTCAGATAAACAGAGTATATAAACCAAGGTTTATATAAAGTATCCAGCCATTCTAACCAAAATTTCGGGTTAGTATAGTATGCTCCCGGGGTTTCCCTTAGTATGCTGACAGTATCTCTGAATGCTTTTGACCGAATGATGTTCTTATCAATCCACCGTTGGATTTAATAAGATTGCAAGTAACCAGCATTCTCAGAAATAATTTTCCACCGCACTCAGATATTGCATCTCATGATCCCAAAGAGCCTTGAAGTGTCATGGTCAGCGTAATAGGTGCGATGGAGCAGTACACCTTACCCAGTCAAACATTTCCAACGCAGAATCCCCCGTCAGTATGTCATGCATCATACTTGGGGATCGTAAGAACGTCTCTGCGTTTTCTCCATGATTCTGCCCTTCTTGAGCCCCATATGAGGCAAGCAAGGGACCCGCCCCGCCATATCCCAATAGATCTAGCATTGTGCCAATTATACCTGCAGCTTTGAGGGTCTCCGATGATGGCCTTGGTGAGCTCCTCCAGGATATTTGGGAGGCCTTCAATAGCTCAATTAGATCAGCCTGGGGCGTAATTCCCACAGTTCTGCCATTTTTCGATTGTGTTATCACCTCCAAAGATAATACCATGGCAGCTGTCATGCAATCAGAATTTGAGCGAGATGCCCCGAACCACGCTAGCTGCTGATTGTGTGTTTTAGCCAGAACTTGGAATAGTTCAGAATAGAGAGTTAGAACCTGCTGGGCTGCATCCACGCACACGGACCTTAGTCCCTTATGAGGCTCTGGATAAAGAGCCGTCAAGTAATGGCGATGTAAGATGCATCGCGCGCGCTGATACGTTATTTCCAAATAGTATTGTTTGATCACAGTCTCGTCATCTGATGCCCGTGTCTCTGGAGACTGCAACTGAAGTATGCTGGGCAAGCGACTCTTGGTATTTTCCAGTTTCATATTTAATTCAAGAGTTCTTTCGGGGAGTAGGGAAGGGTGTGAAGCCATGTCGCCGACTTCGTTGGCAACAGACAACATCTGCTCCATTGCCGACATGTATACAATGTTGCTGGCCACCTCATCTGCGGGGCGCGAAGGCGGAAGGACAGTAGTTCCTGGGCCAAATTCGCTATCCAGAAGGTTTCTGGGGCGCCTCACATCGCCTAGGCTCTGGCTAATAACCCGGGGTAGACCTGTATGCCATGCGAGTATGGAGTCGATCGTGATCAATACAAGCCATGCTCTGCGCCGCATTTCTGCTTCAAAACTCGATATCTGGAGTTGGTAGAGCTGAGGATCCCGATGATATCCCATCATAATTGCTAGTCGCGACACAATGCTGAGTAACATTGGGAGTCCTGTTTTGTAGTCGTTGCTTTGGAGATACTCGATGCCGAGGTATAAGATGGATGCTTCAACTTTATAAAGGCCCGGAGTAGCGAAATTTGACTTCGCCAACGCAACTGCACCATTATTACGGTACACATAAAATGCTCTAGGCAAGTCTAGCGAGGACACTTTCGGATCTCCCGTATGCTGGATGTATATCCCACAAGAGAGGATTGAATACAATAGGGCGATCCAAGAGACCGGTGCTCCGGCGGGGTTATCCCAGAATCTCAGGTACTGTTGAAAACCTGCGTTAGATATTTATATTATAGCTCAGTTATTGATGGCATGTACTTCGCTTTTGAACGTCGGGGCGTGAATGATGACTGCAGGACTTGTTAGATCCGTCTCGAGGTAGTTAAGGATGTATGTAAGATAGTAGGGGTTTGAGTACGTACTTAGCGATGGTTCCCTGGAGTTCAGACAGCGATCGACGAGCAGATCTGCAGTTTCGCGAGGCGGTAGTGCATTTAAAAGCTCCGCCATGTCCATCATCTGTGAAATTCCCAGTAGCAGGACTGGGCCCTCCGGCCGGGAGATCCTATCAGTGTCTTGGCCATCATTATCGTTCCAATCCATTCGATTGAGCTTCTGGGCCTGATATATACGTTAAGACATGTCATGATGGAAAACCCCTCCTAGGGGCAGAGCCAAACATCTCTGGTGTGACTCACCGCATCATTCATAATTGCCTGCCAGTGACTTGGATTAACGAATCGAGTCCCGCTTTTCCCAGCTAGAAAGCAAATAGTTAAGGAACTTCTTCCTGTGGGAACTTGTGATTTCGTCGAAGCTATTTCACATTCGCTAGAATTTCTGCTGGAACATTCGCCAACATGAAGCCTATCATCCCGAGACGTGGAAGAAGAGTTGCAATCCCGCGTGACTTGCCTTTCTAAGAAGAGCAATCTTTCCTTTGAGATTTGCAAGTTATCGTGGACGTCAATAGGTTCTGGCTTCCCCGATGTACGGGGGTTCGAACGCTCGGTATTGTATTGACAGGCTGCATCCTGGCCTCGTTTCCGACAGTTTGTGCAGGGGCGTTCCCGGCTACATCTCAGCCTTTAAAGATGTTATGCAATGTCAAACAATAACAAAGAGATCGATTGTCATTTCGTTATTCTTTCAGCACATACTTTTTCTCCCTGCATGACGTGCATGACAACAGAACCCGGGGCTTCTGTTCTCGGCGTTTCCGATCTCTCTTTGTGAAGATTGTAGTATGTGATGCCGTCATGATGGAAACCATAAGAAACAATAAAAAACAATAATCTCCTGGAGAAAAAGGAGTATAGGTGGACTTGGGATCATCGGGTTTCTTGTAAGTTGCGTTTTCGGATTTCTCGGGTTTCTCGGCTTGAGGCTTGGACCCACTGCGTTTCATGAAGGAACGGTCCTAAATTCTCCTATACCTTCTAACTACATTGAGCTTTGATCGACCTTTTCCATGGTTTTAGTTTAATCAAAGTCATGACACTTTGCGTAACCCAAATGGAGCGTGCTAACACTTATGCTGGATTTCTCTCTTATGCTAAATTACACTGACTACTTTAGATGGGTCCACCCGAGTAGACAGACATAAAAGACCATGGCACCTCCAGTCGTCGTAATCGTGTCGGTCCCTCACACACTGCCTGTTATTCATTAGGGCGACATCTTTGGAAACTCTGAAATTATAGAGTATATCATGGCAGATTCCAAATCCAGGTTCCGCGTTGTGATTGTGGGCGGTTCAATCGCCGGGCTTACACTCGCTCACTGTCTGCTTCGAAACAACATCGACTTTGTTGTGCTAGAGTCCCATGCGGATATTGCACCCCAGGTTGGTGCATCTATTGGTATTCTTCCAAACGGTGCCCGCATCCTGGACCAACTAGGCCTTTACGACGACGTTCTCAGTCAAGTGGAGCCTCTCACTAGAACTTTCACGTGGACTAATGATGCCAAGCCCATCACCGACACAGTTGCTCCCCTGACTATATGTGAAAGGTAAGCCAATATATCCGGTAGTTCTCGAAACTTATACACTGGCGACATTTCTAATCCAGCAGACATGGTTATCCGGTTGCGTTCCTTGATCGCCAAATTCTGCTCAGCATTCTGTACGAGGGCCTGGGAGACAAAAGACATCGTGTTATGGTGAACAAGAAGGTGACTGAGATAGAGCATACCCCTGAAAATGTTATGGTCTACTGTGACGATCAATCCGTTTTTGAAGGTAATCTTGTTGTTGGAGCCGATGGGGTACGGAGCACAGTGAGACGACAGATGTGGCAGCATATGGAGTCTCGAGGGATGGAGCATGAAGCCCTCAAGGAGAAAAATTGTACGATTCCACCATACATAAAGCAGCAGCTTCATATGACCCTCACTCATTCTTATGTGGTACAGTGATGACATCCGAGTACAACTGTGTATTCGGTATATCTTCAGCTACCCCCGGACTGAGACCAGGACATGGACATCGGACCTTCGCGGAGGGCTATTCCATACTGACGATCATCGGCAAAGAAGGGCGGGTTTACTGGTTTTTCTTCACCAAAATGGACAAAACTTACCCCGCATCTCGAATTCCCAGATTCAGTCAAGATGAGATCGATAGCCATCTCGCCCCCTATCTACAGAAGCCGATCACCCCTGACGTACCGCTTGCTGAGATCAACAAAAGAGCAATTGTCAGGACTTTTGTATCCCTTGAAGAGGCTGTCTATAAGCATTGGTGTGTCGACCGATATGTTTGCATTGGTGACTCGGCCCATAAGGTGCGTCTGATCTCTCGAGTACTACCAGAATCTCATCTAAGATGTTGAATATAGATGACACCAAACCTGGGCCAGGGCGGCAACAGTGCAATTGAGAGCGCTGCGTCGCTTGCAAACAGCCTCTCTACTCTAATTAACGGCCCTACCAAACCAAGGACAGATGTTCGGGATATCCATCAGTGTCTGCAAGTATGGCAGAACATCCGCCAGAAACGGCTTGACCATATTTCACAGTCAGCTTACGACTTGACCAGAATAGAGGCTCTAGCTGGTCTTAAGGAAAAGGTCATTGGGCTTTATCTTCTTCCATATCTTAGTCAATACTTGGTCGATCAAACGTCCGCTACGATTATTGGAGCATCAAAGATCGACGGTCTACCTCTGCCACCAAAGTCCTTAGCATGCACCATGCCGTACCTGGATGATGACAACGGAGTCTCCAGACAGGATAATGTGTTATGGAAGCGTGCTCTTTCAACCGTTCCTCTTATTGTCTGTTATGCTGCTGCGCAAAAGACAATGGGGACGTTGATAACTCAGACTGGCCCCTTCATGGTGTCTTTGTTTGCCGAGGGCGTATGGTCTGCAGCTAATGGGGAGATCCTCAACCTAAGCAGACCACTCTATCATATGCCATTCCTGGACAAGCTGTTTCTGCCTGCGATTACGTGTTTCTTGCCTTCTATCAGTAGATCTGATCCGCAATCCCGCACTCAAATGCTATCATTCATGGCCGACATTGGCCCCATCTACGGAATATGGCTGTTGGAAAGTTATCGCAAGGCACATTCCTGGTATGAGCTCATACTGTAAGTTCACCTACTCGAAAATATATCTTCCCCTTTTCCAGAAAATATGGCTAAATAAAAACCGAATAGCCCGATAGGCGCGGGAATCGCGTTCCAATTGAAGGGCATTGGAAAGTTTGCCCCAATCTACTACGCACTGGAGCATATTCGGTCGCCCCTTTCAAGCCTTCTATCGGGGGCAAAGCATCAGATAACGCAGGAGGCCTCGAGCTCGTTGCTGATCGCCATGCTAACGGGATACTATTTCCCTACATTCGCAAACTTCGTGGCCCCAACGATTGAATCGCGCCGCAACTACAATGCCATTTGGCAACTGTTTCCTGTCGTCGTACCTCTGCTACAGGCCCCCTTGCGTCTGGTCAAGAGAGCTTTCGGGAGTAAGGAGAAGCCACAACAGAAAGAAGAACGTAAGGAGAATATGCGTTACGTCCGGTACGCATATGGCACGTTCGCCTTGATCTCTGGACTTACGTTTCTCCACGCTCGATGCACTGTACCAGCTCATACTTCGTTTGCTAGTGCCTTTCTTCCTGGGTTGAGAGGCCACCTGGAGCCCGTCACCTCATTTTCTGATGGCATTGCGAGGTTCCTCCAGTATGATGAAGTAATATCCATGGCTAGTGGCTTTATGTGGCTCACGTTGAAGTTCAAAGAATTGAAAGATGCTGGTGCCTCGTTCTCTTGGTTGAAGGCTGTTGGGGGACTGGTGGGGACTACAGTTACTCTTGGGCCTGGGACCACCTTTGCGCTGGGTTGGGGCTGGAGAGAAGAGATGATGCATAGACTGGTTCGTGATAAACAGTCATCAGTGTGAAATATGACTGTATTCTGCATGCTCTGACGGCTGTGTATGCAGCTTTCACGGCTAGTTTGTTGCGTAAGGATACGAATGCGAAAATCCAATAGCTTGCCTACAAGGCTTGAAGATGACCAAAAAAGATGGTATAGAATGGAATTGAGATTAGTATATAGGTATTTGGTATTATCAGATTGTAGTATGGGTCATGCGCGAAGATGATGGTCTCCTGTCTCCTGCAAGCCCGAGCTAAGGATGCCTTTGGAAAGGAACTGATGTTCCACTTTGACGCGTAACAGGAAGTATATGAGCTGAGCCCGTTAGGCCCTTACTGTGAGCGTGATAATCGTATTTTTTTTATTGCTTGAATGTAAATATGTACACGAGAAGAGATGTAGCCTCGCCACCGCACCACGTCCATATCAGCCGAGAAGGGGAGTGCACCATGAGCGCCTTTACAGATGGATCTTGTCTATAGATGAACTGTTGAAAAAAACATCAATGGGTCAGATGTCTCACTGGCGCCTTCAATAATCATATGGTGTATAGGACGCTGCAACAACCTGGATTTCGCGCTTCAATGTTTCCCTATCAAGTGGCAGAACCGCATAATTATTGAACTTGTTCTTTGTCGACAGATGATCTATGAGCAACTGCATGACTTTTCTGCCTTTCTCTTCCTCCAATTCCCAGACTGCGGGAGCATCGATCCACCAAGCTTGGGCCCACCACCAGGCTGGATGGCCAAAGGAATCCGGAATGCTGGCATCTATTATCGGGCAACCCAGCAGCAACGGAACTGCACGATGCGGGGATATTCCGTCTATCATGTACTGCCATTTCCTGCTGAACTTTGACGGAAGGTCTTGTCCAGAAGGCCGTGGAGACATACCACATAGGTAAACAGCCCAAGATAAGGGTGTTCTCCCGAAAATATCCTGAGAATTGACATCCACACGACCCGACTGCAGGGGCTTACATAGCATGGCTTCATGTCCACACATTGCGGCTACCGTAAGTGGAAATTTTCCTGTCACACTTCTACAGTCAACCTCAGTTCCTGAGGCCTCAAGAAGAATGTCCACTGCCACTGGCTTATTTGTCTGAACGGCCCATAACAAGGGCGTCCATTGATGTTTGTCTCTGGAGTTCACATCAACACGTCCCGTGCTGAGTAGCACATACATGGCTTCTTTTTGCAATTGATCCCAACATTTTTTGGGGTCAGGCGAACGATTGAGCGTTTCACTGTTTGGTCCTGCGGCCCATGAGAAAGCCGTCCTTCCCTGACCGTCCTTCCCATCTATATCGACAACCCCGCTCTCAATAAGGATCTTCATCATCTCAATTTTGCCTTGTTCGGCGGCATGTGACAAAGCATCTCGACCCCTTCCATCGCGTAGCGTTACGTCGCAACCAAGCTCAAGGAGCTTTCTCATTGTAGACCCATTGTTTCCAGTTACTGCCCAGTGGATGGCAACTCCCCCGTAGGAGTCCAACCAACGAAGACTGTATGGGGAGGAAAGTAGGACACTGCAAACATCCCTTTTACCTCGAGTGATCGCAATATGCAAAGCGTTTGTGGGGCTGGCAATAGTGACTCTAACAAAGCTGAGCAGAAATTCCACGATTTCTGCCTTGGAACACTTAATCGCATAGATAAGCGGTAGCGAACGACAGTTGAGCTTATGGTTCAGATCGATTTTGCCAGTGAGGTAGAGATATTCAATATGGCTACATGACCACCTTTGATAGCGTACTCCACCAGACACAAAGCCATAGAATGTCTTTTCATTTGGATTCGCTTGCTGTTGACCACATATTGTTTCATTCGATCAATAACCCCAGCCTCAAGCAAGGAGTTGTCGACAGAGGCATCTGAACTCGTATTGCAACCAAGTAAGGCCCTGATTGCGAGTGTGTTACCCATGTAGACAGCCGCACCCATTGGGCTGTGATACCTTCCCATTTGCTTCCACATCTGTGGCGTACGTAGAAGTTCCAGGCGGATGAGGTGGTCCAAGTTCAATTCTGCTAGAACGTATAGAGGCGTGACCTCGGCTCCATATCGGCGAATGAGACATTGTGTAAGGGCATTTCGGATGTACATGAAGTCCTGGAATGACAAAGAGAACGCTTGCAGGAAGGCAGCTTGCGAAGTGCCTCCAGCCTCAGCCGCATTGCTGTGAGGCAGGAGGCTATGGATAGCATAATTGAGGAATGGGGTTTCTGATTCTGAATTCTTGTCCTTGGCTATGGGTGGCCATACATAGCGGTTTGGAATCTCGCTTACGGCCATGAACTTGATTTGACAGATGTATCGGAAGCAGATTTGTGCAAGCTCGTTATGGGCGTTCCCGATTGTGTTCGCGCTTGAACCAGCCTGGAGTTTGCTAAAACCGTCCCGTCGTAGTAGGAAATCTCGCACTGACTCGTGAATGAAATGTACTATGCGAGCTTTGGTGCGGGTAATCTCCACGAGGCCTTTGGAGACGTTGAGGATGAAGTTCTCAATATGCGGATCAATGTGCCATTCGCCTTCTCTTTTGATCAAGCCGTTTTTGGTAAACATCACCGCGAAGTAGATCTCATCCTTGGACAGTGGGCATTGTGCAAACAAGATGAGTCGAAGACAAAAGATAAGGTCATCAATTTCATCAGTGTCTCTGGTCAGCATATCGGTGAAAAGCTCATCAAGCCCGTCTGGGATTTCATCCAGCCGTTGACGTACGGCGTGGATTTGGCCCTTGGCGAACGCATCGTTTAGCGACCGAACTACAAGTATAACCCAGAGAAATACACCGGATGCTCGAGCGCACACTTCTTCTCTAATCTCTTGGAGCATTTTTGACTTGCCCCCTCTCAATTTCGTCTCAACGTACTTCCGCATGTCGCCTTGATGCTCCTGCTGGTACTCCAAGACCCACTCAATGCCACGTTCAATATTGAGTTGTGGATAGTGTCTGCTGGCCAGACAGATTCTCAAATGGACATCGCATGCATTCAAAGAGTGCCCCAAGTGCTCGAGGAACGGTATCATGTCCTCCATCTCGACTTGATCGCATTCGTCCAGAGCATCAATGAAGAAGAACACGTAGCGGTTATTCAGCAATCGGATGAGCGATAACAGCTGATGTTTCAAGTCTCGGATTGTCCAATTTATGCCGTCATCTTGACTTAGCATCTTCGCTGCAAAGCTAAAGTAGGGCTGCTTGGCACTCGATGGAACGGCAGTAGACGAGAGAAGCTGATGCAAGAGTGAGCGATACATACCCACAGTGAACCTCTCCAAGTCCACCCCTTGGGCATGGAAAAAGAAAGAGGAGATTATTGTGTCTTTCGCATTTTGCTTTGCCTTTGAAAGAAGGTGTTTCATGAGCGTCGACTTTCCGGCTCCGGGCTTCCCTTCAATCCAAAAAAATCCTCCGTGACTTTTCAAATCCTCCCCGCTCATCCATGTCTTATATTCTGGTCGTTCTAATACCCAAGTGCATGTCGTATCAAGGGGATCCATAATCTCGTCCAGGCGATACTGGGCATGGGGAAAGGTTAACAGATCAAGGCACGCCTTTTCTCGTTCGTTACTGGAGTCTTCAAAAGTCTCTGCGGGTCTTTTTCGCGGATTTAACTGGGAGGTAATTATATCTGCCAGGAAATCATTTGACGCTCAGTAAAGTACACAGCTAAAAGAACCTAGTGGAAGCTATGAACACAAAAGTTGCTTACATACCCTGGGCCAGGCCCGCTGATGATGTCGCATTTGAAATGGGATTCTGATCCAGGAGAGCACGCATGCAAGCCGCTGCACTCGCAGCTGCGTAGTATTGCCAAGTATCATTCTTATGGCTATCAGCGTAGTCGCTTACTCCTTTGATCAGGATGCAAGGGATATTGTCCCATACGCCAGCCCCTTTCATCTCAAAACCAAGAACTTCCTCGCGCTTAGAAATTCTGTCTCGATCCTTGGCAGAGCACATCACAGTATCTCCAGAGGCAAGCCGGCCAATATGGATATACGGAGTCCCATCAGAGTGCACACGACGGCGGTCCACGACACTTGGGTCCCCGCTGGCATCACTCATACACAGACAGCGTACGCGATGCTTGTATTCAGCTTTAAATAGGATATCGCTTTTGATACCAGGATATGGCACATCCTTGCTACCTTGTATAGTCTGAAGATGCCCCTGTTGGTCTTTGGAGAGGTCGCCATGACGCGACTCTAAGCAGGTCATGAATGAGGATCTGCAGACTCGCTCGCCCTAGATTGGACTCTAACGTATTCTTGCGCACAAATCGGTGCGGGAGTCTATTCCCCAAATTATATTGAATAATCGCGCTGCTAATTATCACATCGCCGAGGAAAACATCTCTCCTGCGTTGTGTTGGACCCACGTCCGTCCTGTAAGGCACTCCTCCACAGATCCCTATTAGAAGGGCCAGTTCGATGCCCGGGTAGCTTTGTTTGATATTACTGGCCACGCTGGACGATTCGGCTTTCCCACAACCACCCATGTGGGCCAGAACCACATTGTAACACCCAATGCGGCCCAGCGTATAGTGATTGGGGTCGTTTCATACAGGACCGTATTTTTCATAGACAGTTCTATCGTAGACCGTGTCAAACAGCGGTATCGCCACTTCTGCCTCCAGGGGAAGCGGGCATATAATTGCGATTGTAAATTGAGCATGACTGAGGTGGTGGAAAGCTTCTGTTGGCATTCTGTGGATATAGTATGGGCAGTACAGGTGGTGAAAGAAAAAAAACAAGGTGCTATTCGGGGGCCAGTCGGTAGTGGCAGGTTCGATTGTTTTATATACGCCGGCGCATGCAACTATGCCCTATATGGAGAAGGCGCAGCAGCGAGTTAGTCTTAAGCGCGGCTCCGGATTGCGCCTTTCCCCCAGGCTAATCTTATCGTCGGAATTTGACTGGCTGCTTCTGATTACAGAAGCTGGGGTGTCTTCCTGCCTTGCGGCCACGATGACTGCCAACCTGCACATTTGTGCCTGACAGAGGCGCTCGGAGTACGATGTTGCATGGACAGAATCGCATCACTAGAGAAAATTACTCATTCTCAGCCGTACTTGGCTGTTGCTATGGATCAATCAAGTACATACGACCACAGGGTGTGGAAAACAGGGCTTCCCGTCCGCTCAGCCGTACTTAAGCCACACGCCGGGAGGTTAGTAGTTGGGTGGGTGACCACCAGCGAATCCCTTCTGTTGTATGTTTTTGTTTCCATTTTCTGCTTTTTGTTTGAATGGATGATGGACTGTGTGTGAAACCGCGTTTCTTTTCATTGGTGTGGTTGGCGGAACAAGCATTAAGTGGTCAGACGGGGGAGGGGGGGGGGCATGAGTAGACCTGGATCGGCCATACTGGTCTAGAGAACATTCTGATGTCAATTATACACACTTTTTATGACGCATCTAGCATTTCTATGCGCCGAAAGCCTTAGAGCTCGCTTACATACAGAGAGAAGTGACAAAAGGAAATGGTAACGTATACACCAACCACAAATGCAACCTCCTAGGATTCTCCTATCTTATTTACCCATGTCGGATCTGCCGAGGGCCCAAACAAAAACTTGAAAAAGTTCAGATATGCAAGCCCCGTATATGTGACTGGGATATAATGAGCTCCCCGTCTGATCCACGACATTGTGCACCGCGCAGCCCAGTCAGCCGACACAATCGCAATTCCCATGCGAGAATTGAATGCTGCAGGGACGATATGTCGATATATTACCTTGTCTGACTTGTACAGAGCACGAGCGTAGGGTAAGAATGCTCTCTTTGACGCGGTGTATCGTACCATCTCAGGCACACCCCAGGCAGAATGAAGCTCTGCTTCGCTGCCAACGTACCAGATTTCAGGTAGAACCTTGGTTCTCTGAGACTGTGCGGACTTTTGTTGCATGAAAAGCTCAATTAAACGAACTGATGAAATGCAGTTTGAGTCCATGGCCTCTGGACCCTTGGTTCCATGGGCGAGAATGATGATGTCTGCCTCTTGAAGGATTGGGCCGACACGCGAGAAGTCTTCGTTGTTCCAGTCTTTGCCGAACTGCAGGTTGTGTATGCTTTTGACACCTTCGGCGCGTACTTGCTTCTCCATCGCTTGTCCAAATGCCCCCGATCCACCCGTCATGACCACCGTCTTGTTTTTCAGCGAGTATGCAGTACCCGCAACCCAGTCGAATAGCTTCACCATAGACCCCATATAACGATCTGGGTAGATATGGTGCAAGGAATGGTACTCCGGTCCCACAAATGCCCAGCTATGATCTTTGGGTACTTTGTCAAGTGCGATATGATTGGAGTCCTGGCCGTTACTAATGATAACAAAAAGAGAGCGAACGGTTTGTACGACGAGGACGATAGAAAGGGCCTTCGAATCGAGACGTTTAATATAACAATTCAGGATGGTAGCAAGGATCCAGCCGATGATGCTTCCGAGCAACTGACATATTAGCTCGAGAGGAAGAGCAATCAAGGCATTTGGTTTGACGTATCGCTGATTAAATTGAAGAGATCGGGGGTAGTAGAGGTGATGATACTGGTGACAGCGAGAAAGAAAGCGGAGGATTCGCCAGCGAGATCTCGACCATTTGTGTAGGAGAAAGTGAACAATGTCAAAGAATATAGTACCAAATATATAGAGGTAAGAAGCAGAAAGGACCACATTAAGCATCGCCATTATGTGCTTGCAGGTGTGATGATGTTTGTAGTTGTTAAGATTCTTGGAATGAGCATTGTAGAGCAAGAAAAGCTACATCCAGTCCTCTTGGAGCACGTCCTCTTAAATGACACAGCACAGCAGTCGCCCCTATTTCATTTTCTTTTTTGTTTCCAGGGCTCTGTATATACTTTGCGCCGTTTATGTTGTTCTCCTGGATCTTCTTTGTTTCAGGGTGCACCAAAGTAACATCCTGCTGAGGTCAAATACGAATACGGAAGATAGGGCTCTCTCTCAGCTGAGCACTGGCCACTTAGGACCCGTAAATGATAGTCTGGAGCAGGGGCCATATTGCCAAAGTGGATATACACAGCCATCTTTGACTAATATTGTGGCTGCCTGAGCAGCATCGTATGGGTTTGCTTGTGCCCCGTATCTGGATTGCGTCTTAAAGAGACTAGTGCCTCGCTTTATGGTCCTTGCGCGTTTTTGGACCCTGGCAGACAGTCCTGCCATGCTAGGGTTCTGACACCGGTTTTCATTGACTAAACTACCTACCGGATGCTTTGACGTGCTCCAGCTCAAAAAAATAAACCCCAACCCCATGTTTCATTTTCGTCTTCATGGCCGCGTTATTTCCTCCATACCTGCAGTTGTGAGGTGGGCCATCCAACCCATCGCCGATTGCCAACTCACTCCGATTAGCTTATAATAGATTAAGAAGGCCAAGGCCTTTAGTATGTGCATCATAAACGGGCTTCATTCTCGGTGAATCCACGGAGAAAAGGACATCCGTCAAAAGGTATGAGACAAGTGATACTCTAATATTCATAGAATCTGTTTGATTGGATTACAGAAATACTTCTACTTTCAACTGCCCGAAGCAGTAAAGAAGACGGCGAGGCTGATTTCGTGACCCACTCGTAGTTCATCAAATCCTGACAAGGTTGTTGCCGCTGTCTTAGATCCAGCTAAGGCCCATGGATGGCATATTCTACTCTATGTAAGTGGGTAAAAGTGAAGTGTTACATGTCCATGAAACGCATATTTGGCACTCTTGGTATAATTACAGGTGCGTTGGTCTACAGGAATGAGTTGTGACCGTGCCACATTACAATCCCAGTCCTAGGCCAGGTGTTACTTGCGAGCAACCATCGCTCAGGATTACAAAAATAGAGTAACATGCCGACGCCTTAAAAGGGTAAAGCCGCCAAGAATGGATGCCCTCCAAATGCTTGGTATGTTTGAGAACGACCACGAATGAAGTGTGCTGGGCACCCGCCCGCGACAGGTTCAGGAGTTAGCGGGGCAGTGTCAGACTGGAACTACAAAAGTTATTTAGGTTTAGAAACACCGTGACTCAGAATTAGCTCAAACACGTGAGATTCTAAAGCTAATGCTAGTCAAGCAAGATTAAATGTATGAATCAATTCTAACCACTACAGTTTATGAAATGATCTTGACGTAGGAAAAATGAGAAACAGTGAATAAAATAGCAAAATAAAACAATCATAAAAATCTAATCCTCTTCATTCTGCAACGTGTCTGAACACCCCCGAGTCGCCTTAAAAATATATGAATATGATAAGCAAATTAGGAAACTAATTCTGTTTCAAGTAAGTGATTTGAAGTCATGGCGGATTAAATGAGATTAATTATTAATTATTGCTTATATGTCTAGGATGTATAAAGATATTAATTTTCATCTCTAACCCGAACATTCTATTTACATGATAAAGCTTCCTAAGGATTAGCACTTCTCTGGATTTGCCATACTAAATTCCGAACCCACTGTATTCAAAGACCCTAAAGCTGTTTCCTACTTTGCTGTGCAATCCAGATTATCTAAGCGCGAGTATACCCATCTTTCAGTCTCAATCAGTAGTTCAATAGCACTTTGATCTCCGGTCTGTAAAAGCTGGGAAAGATATATCCCAGCAACCCCTCTCTTAATGTCGACCCACTATCGTACGTTAGTCAAGTACGACAGGTTACTTATAGGTGGCGGATAACCAACCCAGTAGCAATTTGGTTTCCCTGACCATGAGAGCGAATTTACTTTTCGACGCTGCGGGATCCTAGCTCTATTCAGCAGACCACCGATCCCAAAATCCACCGGTATGTCATGTGGGATAGCATTACATATGGCATTGCGCGGCTCCAACGAATAATCTTCCGGTTGTTCCACTCTCCAGATGAGGTTGGAACATCTCCTCAATAATCTCAGGGCGCTGAAATTGTGCCATAAGTATACGTTAACAAATCTTAAGCATTTATTCACCAATATATATAAATAACCCATACCACTGGAGTGGGTTAACATGCACCTTATAACTATTAATACACCTGAATCCTACATTCATTCAAATCAGGAAAAGTGCGAGATACCGTAAAGTAACAGGTTTGGTAGCTGCCCGAAAGATAGGATTATCATTCACATCGAAGCCCGTCAGGATTTGAGGACTTGCCCACTCCGGTAACACATTGGCGATATCCCCATCCAAATCTAGCAGACCGCGCTCGACACACTGCATTGCCGCAATGGTAGTCACCAGCTTGGCACCCAATGCACGGCGTCAGTATCAGTAGAATCTGATGAATTTTCTCCAAATGCCTTAGCATAGTGCAAGGAACCTTGGTTGTACGATATTAGCAAGCAACACGTATTGGAGGAGGGAGGATAGACAATGGCAGTTTCTTAGTATCATACCATCGCTATTGATAGCCCCTAGTGTAATCCATGGTAGTAGCTTCTTGCCATTCTCAGACGACTGACGGAGCAAATTTACTTTCTCTTCAAAAGTAGTCATTTGGAGGATCAACGGTGCCAATGACCAAATCAATCTGCAATCCAGTATTCCTGGCGACGAACGATTCCTTGATTTACATGAAAGAGGTCTAAGAATCGCACCCTACTTAGCACCAGGACACTCCATCAGGCTGGCATTTATAGCATATGCCCGTTCTGTCGGCAATGAGAACCGTCGAACCAGTTGAAGTAATCTTCGACTCCGAAGAAGATCAACAAGTGCCAGGGTTCGCGATCTGGCCCAAGTAGGAAACCTGCTTTCCCTGAATGGAATAGATGGTCATAACCCCATGTATCACTTTCCGGTCAGCCTCGTACTCCACAAAATGCCACATGTTTCAATCTTGTTTTCCGTTATTAGATACTCATTGATAAAGTGAGACAAACGGGTAACGCCGTTGCCTTGGAGTAACGTATCTGGACGGGTAATACATAGATAATTGTATTACCCGTCCAGATACGTCTCCATTCTCTCGATCTTCATATTATAAACATCGTGATTCAGATTATTCAAAGCATACCCGTCCCTGCTACCTTGCGCCCGGAGTATGCATTCTCGTTCTGTTGCCTTTCTTTATTGATTTTGGATCGCTCATTCGGGTTAATTCATACAAATATACAGCATGTTTTGGGGCTGCACGTAGGGGGGAGGAAGACGGGTTACTAACCTAGGTGAGGTTGTTATATTGTTCATTCATACCTCAGGCTAATAGTAGACCGTGGTAAACTCCTATTTCTAATACACATAGTCAGTATTTCTTTTAACTAGGGTATCATTAATATAGATGTTACTGATAATGGGATGGGAAGCGATAGTCTACTATTATAAGGGACTTACTGGTCGGCAATATGCTTATCGTCCGACATGACGGACGGCATCGGGAAACTATTGAAGATGTTGTCTTGTCGAATAGAAGTCTTGTGGTTTTGGAGAATGCGATAAGGTTCGTGTATGTGATAGGTAGTCTAATGGATACTCTGGGCGATGTCTACTACATACTATGGATTCTGATGTTGTGTTATCATTGTAATATCAATTCATGCAACCCAAGCATTGGAACTGGTGATAATGTAAGCCAAATTTGATTATTGCTGTTGCAGTCTAAGTCTAATAGTGTATAGCTCTATCTGTACAACTGTTGAAGAAAGAGAAAGTATACAGCACGAACAGAATCGAAATCAACAAATAACCGGGTGTGCAGTGAGTGTCCAAGTACATCTCAGAACAGTCAGCTGGAAAACGAGCGACACGAAGAGAAAAGTAATATGGACAATCTTCTGAAGATTGTATAATAAACAATGGACAGTGAAGTTGAAAGAAATTGTAATTGGAAATATATGACGTTGAAGGGTAAAAGGAATCCCGAGCTGCCATCACGCAGCTGGGATGACACGACGTACACAGATCACTTAACCGACATCTTGCCCTTTGGCACACGAGCCAACCAGTAGATACCCACCGCCGCGACAATGTTGAAGGCGATATACACCCACATCAAGCCGAAGTTGCGCCAGGCATCCGAGAAGTAACTAACCACTTCAGCAAGGAAGGTATCCGTGCTGCTCATAGTGCAGAATTGGCAGTCTGACGTGGCCGATGGGTTCAACAGGTAACCCCCATTGGCGCTGATATACGACGACATATAAGCCTGACATGTCTGGTTTCCAGGCGTGTTAAATGACAGATACTCGACGGCCTCGCATGTCACGGTAGTGCCGGAAAGGCCTGTTGAGAGCATAGCAGATACCAGGTATGTGAACGGGGACACCCGGTACATGAAGATCCAGAATCCAGGCATGTCGGATGGAGTCGCAAGAACACCACAGAAGATCAAGCAAAGGGAGAATAATAATGTCGCGATATTACCTCCTGTCTCTGCTAGCTCGATTCCAGCAATCACCATGTGGGCGAAGGTCGACGTAAAGAGAAGGAAGACCCAAATAAGCAGGAACATGAGACCGGCCCGTTCATTGACGGAATCAGTGGGCTTCGCGTTGTTATATAATCCGATCGGGTAGTACCAACAGACGAACATGAGAACGGCCATCAGGGTATTCCATGGGAGTTCCACGAATATATTGGCCGTCATGAATGCCTGCCAGGAATAGGTCTTGGATGGGCGTTCTCGGACTTCGTACAGTGATCTTTGAGTGACAAAGTGTGGCATGATCTGTTGGCACAGGTTACCGAAGATAGTCATCAACATAAACA